ATCACATCTGAGTATTGAAGTTAGGAGAACTGCTTTGTGTGGACGTGAGGAATATTCCCCATCTCCAGCCTAGGGGTACCCTTGAGCAGGAGGAAACAGAATGTGTGATGCAGGGACTTGGACAGGGAATCCTTGCTCAGAATAGGTCTGTGTTGTGTCCTACCCATTGGGATTGTGGGCCCTATCCACCTGCACTGACACCTTGTCTTCTGCTCTCTCACAGCTGGGCGTTCGGCTCCAACTCACTCCCCATAGCTGGCTCTGTGGGGATGGGGGTGGCCCGGCGGACCCAGCGGCAGTTCCCAATGCCTCCCCGGGCCCTCCCGCCTGGCAGGATGGGCCTTCTGAGCCCCTCGGGCATTGGGGGCATCTCCCCCCGACATGCCCTCACCAGTCCCAGCCTTGGGGGCCAGGGCCGACAGGTGAGTGGCTGGAAGTAGAGGGCCTGGTGCTTTTGGGGTTGGGGTGGTGGTGCCTGGGATGTGTGTGTCCATTATTTTGCATCTGGGCCTGGCTTAGAGGGGCCGAGGCTCCTTTGCCAGCTCCACCACTCCTGGGCCTGGGCCTCTTCCCCAGTCACTGACTTTCTTTCTCTCTTCCCATGCCCTTTGCAGAACTTGTGGTTTGCCAACCCCGGAGGCAGCAACAGCATGCCCAGCCAGAGCCGCAGCTCTGTGCAGCGCACCCACTCGCTCCCAGTCCACTCGTCGCCCCAGGCCATTCTCATGTTCCCTCCAGGTAAGGTCCTCCTACTCTTGGTACTCTGCCTTCACAACACTTCTCAGCTGGCCTTTCTCTTCTCTTCTGGGTCTCGTACACTCCAGCACCTCTCCGTACTTCCCACCACTCTCCACATCTCCCCGCATCATGGGATTTTTTTATACTCTTCCTTACCCCCATTTCAATTTTTTATCTTAGGTCCTGCCTTCTTTTCTCTATCTTCTCTCACCTCTTATTTCCACCCCTGCATGTCCACATCTCTCCCTCCCTATGTCATAATCTTAGTATCTCTTTTGGTCTCTGTCACCATCTGTTTGGAAGGCCTTGAGGGGATGAGAGAGCCAAAGCAGCGAGGTTTCTATGAAGGGGAGTCCTGCTTATCAGTCCACTGGCATTCTTTCAGAAACCAGGTAACCAGGCAGGAATCATTAGACTTGCATTCTTAGATCAGGTTTTACTCTAAAGGGTGTTTTGAGGTTCGAGGGCTGTTTTCCCTCTGTTCACAGACCAGCCTAGAGATGGGAGATCAGAATGAGGGCGAAGTGGACAGAAGGGAGGGTAGAGAAGCACTAGCCCTACCTTGCTCAGCGACTGGGGGTAACCTACTCTGCTCTGTGCCAGGCTGGGCACCGAGGCTGCAGAGGCAGATAAGGCTAGCCTGGAATGGGCTGCCTCTAGAGAGATCTTAGATCTGCAGGTGACCCTAATCTCTTCATGTCATAAACTGGCAATCATTAGGGATTCTTAACTAATGAGATGATGTGGACTGCCACATGTTGAAGGCAGGAGACCCCCTCCATCATGTTCATCCTAGCACAGAGCTTGGCATGTGGCAGGCATCTGTAGATGATGTTAAAAGACTGGATGGATGGACTGCGGGAGCAAAAAGTAAGAACAGTTCTTTGGACCTGAATGCTGTGTGCTAGGCTGTGTGTCAGGCAGCTTTCCTGAACTGTCGTATCAAATTCTCCCAACTGTACGTGTGAGGGCACTGTCATTCCCATATGATTAGTTATGAATCTGAGATTCAAAGAGGTGACTTGCCCAAGGTCAAAAAATTTTGTTAAGGAGAGACAATTAGGTTGTCTGACATGGCCTGAGCTCAGGGTTCAGAGGGGTGGTGATGAGGTGAAGCAGAAGGTGGCAGCACGGTCTTCTAAACCCAGGTGAAAAGCTCAGACTTCCTCCTGACAGGAGTCAGGAGCCCAGGATAGGTTTTCAGCAGTGTGGGGTGGGTTTAACTCTGCCCAGGGAGGTGGGCTGTTTCCCAGACTCCAGAACAGGAGGCCCTTTGAGAGGCAGTTTGAGGACAAGCCCCATGGCTGCTGTCCTGATTTGCCCTGCCTGCCTGGCCAGATCGAATCCTGCCCAGAGGAGCAAGTCCAAGTGGGGATGGGAAGATTTCTAATTAAGCTTCTACACCAAGTACAGAGCAGGTCATCAGTCAGGGAGCACGGGGGAGCCCAGCACCCACAGCAGATGCCCAGACTGAGCCCAAGGCAACATGCAGTGTGTGTCCAAAATAGTCCCAGCCTGTGTGTGGCCTCCAGGAAGCTCCCTCAGCTTCACATCACTTCCTCTTATCTCCAGGTCAGGCTTTCTCTGTGTTGCCAAGCTTCTGCCCTTACCATCGTCGCCTATGCCTACTTGGTGAAACACCCAGGCCTGTCTTTGTCCTTCATCTCTGCCCTGTCACATCTTCCATTTGAGTGTGTGCATGTCTCTCGTGTTCCGTCTCTCCCTCCCTCCCTTTCCCACTCGTCCCTCAGCCTCTCCCCAGTGCCAACCCATCCAGTCCTTTGTCTTCCTGGCTCTACTTTTCACCCCAGTTCAGTCTTTACCACCTCTGCTCTCCTCTCTCCCACCCAGATTGCCCGGTTCCTGGGCCTGACCTGGAGATCAATCCCACTCTGGAGTCTCTGTGTCTGAGCATGACAGAACACGCCTTGGGTGGTGAGCATTTCCTCTTTCCCTGACCCAGCTCCCACCTACCCAGCAGCGTCTCCACCTCTGAACTGAGCAACTCAGAGTCATCCTGAGGGGTCCCTAGGGGAGGCCGGACTCCAGGGAGGGCCTGACTGGGATGACAGGCTACCTGAGCACCTTTTCTCGAGCCTCCTGCCAGCTCCTGATCTTCCTCCCTTCCTCCCTTTCTTACCACAGATGGGACAGACAAAACCTCCACCATCTGACGGGACCCACAGCCCAGCGCACCCATAGGCTCCCGGGGCGGCGGGCGGGGGCCAACCCCCAATGGGCTTCTCTGCGACAGCGAGAGGGTGGGCTGGCTCAGCTATACATTCTAATATTTTTCTACTCTCTCACCCTTTTAACTTTTGTTTAACATTGGCACATGCCTTGCTCATTCCCAAGCCCATTGAGGGATCTCTGCTGAGGCCCGGGGAGGTAGGGGGCAGCCAGAATAAAGGGGGCAGGGACTGGCCAGCCTGCCTGCCCTCTCCTTCCCTCATCTCCCACCTGGCCCCATCCCACCCCTGCCTCCTCCAGACCACCCACCACCTGCCCCTCCCAAGGGAGCAGCCTCCCTCAGAGACTCACTGACCCACTATTGTGTGGGGCCTGCCCAAAACCATCTGACATTTGGGGAGAGACAAGCAGGATAGTTAACCTGCTCTCCTGAATGTTATTTGAGAGGCGCTAAAGAGGCAGGTGAGGAGAGGAGCCTCTCCTTGCCACCTTCTTCCCCTTCCCCATTCCCATCATTCCCTGAGGACAGGAGCCACTTTCCTCTCACTCACTTCCTTTTGCCCTGTTTATCAGAGGTTCTCTACAATTAATTTCTTAGGCCTATTTAAGATACATATTTATATAGTTCTTAACGGTTTTTCTCTGATCATTCCCTCTCATTTTTAGAATCCCCAGGCCTCTCCCTGAGCCAAGAAAGTGGCAAGGGGAGCCTGAATTTTATGAGGGGAGAGGGGCAGAGCCCCCTCCTCCAAACCCCCTAGCCTTCCCCACTTCCCCCTAGCCCTGGCTTCCCACATGCAGAGGCTGAAGGTGGAGAGCCAGGGCAGCCAGTGAGGTCAGGAAGTCTGTTGCCTTAACGTCCCCTTCCCCCACCAACATACACCCTTCTCCACTCCCAGGTCAAGTTGCTGAAAGACTTGATTGAGGGTGAGGAATAAGGGAAAGGGGACTGTTTGGTTTTTGGTTTCTTTCCCCACCCCCCTTTTCTTTCAACCTTCCCCCACCCCCCATTATGTCATGACCTCATTAAGTGGAACACTATAGCATAACCCAGAGATTTGTCCCAGCCCCGGAGTCATACAGACCCTCTGGTCCCTGTTCCTACTGCGGGGTTGTGCTGGGGCCCAGGTGGAGGGAGGGAATTTGGGGGTTCAGATTGTGGGGAAGCCAGGGTGTCCTATTCCAACCCCCTCTTCCCCCTCACCCTCCCCACTGGGACATTCTCAAGCTTTTCACACCGAAAAGGAAAAAAAATGTTATTTTTAGATACATTTTATGAATAACTTTTGTTATGAATATGGCTGGTAACCATTGTGTATGTTATTAAAGATACAAAATGTTGGGAAAAAACAAAAAACCAAAAAAAAAAAATTTAAAACCACCGCCCTCCCCACACTCTCAACCTACTCCCTTGACCTTCTTACCCCTGCCCTCCTGGTCTGGACCTTCCTCAGCTGAGCCCAGGGAGGGGGAGGAAGCCAGGGGGTGGTGTAGCCCTGGGGACCTGCTCCAGGTCCCCACCTCCTCTCCCAGTGCCGGGCTGGGTGGGGTGTCAGGTTTATTTATGTACCTCTTGCACACTCATCAACCTATGCAAGTCCCCCACCCCGGCCCCTCCATGTTTCTGTGCCTTTGCTCATTCCCCTCAAACTCCCAGGGCTTCTCCAATCCCTTTCCCAATAGCCCCGGGAAGTGGGATGGACAGGGGCCGCCTTGTTTGTAATCAGCAGGGTGTCCCTCTTACAGGACCCTCACCTCCTCCCAGCCAGTCCCATCTTGTTCACTGTCCATCAGAGTGAGCTGGCTCTACCTGGCACTGGGAGGTGGTAAGGGACAACCCCCCCCCCCAACACAATGGGAGGCAAGAGCTGCCCCTCTCCTTCCACCTGACAGCAGAGTGTGCAGGACGCAGGCGGCCCCACTCTGATGGGCAGGACCCTGACCCTCTCCAGCTCCAGTGCCCCCCCCCCTCGCCCCTCACCATGATTTTACCCTCCCTTCTATCCCCAGCCCCACTGGCAGAATCAGCTTTGAGTAACTGTACAGTTTTTCTCACTGTTGGAGAAGACTTATTTGTTGGAGTTTCACTTGTTTAATGGTCTGGGCTTATTTTGGAAAAAAAAAAACCAAAAAAAAACCGATTCTGACCTTTGTTATGCTACATTTCATTGAAAACCTAATGGTCCTGCCTTTGTGGACTTTGCTTCTTATGCCTTAAGCTGAGGCCACCAAGTGCCTGGGGTAGCAGGTGCGGGAAGGGATGGGGTGGGAATGGGGAGATGTAGGCAGAATGAGACCATAGGGCCTGGTAAGGGAAATATAGAAGCTGGCTTTATTAACAGCAAAGGTTTGGAGGAAGGCAGGGAAACAAAGTAAAAGGCTCGCAAATGGACCACTGGAAGTGCCTTCCTGCGCATAATAATCATGTCTGCGCCAGCCCTGAAGGCCCTGGGACTCAGTCACTGTCACTGTCGGCTTCACTGGAATCAGAAGGTGCAACTTCACTGCCATCCTCCTGGGCTGAGTGCTCACTGCCACTGGGGAAGGGACTGGCGCTGCGGCTGGGGCTGGGGCTGGGGCTCGGGCTCCGCTGGCCACCCCCATCACTGCCGCTCTCTGAATCATTGTCACTGCCATGGGCTCGTCCTCTGTCCTCATCATCAGAGTCAGCATCCTCTGAATCCGCATCACTGCCGAAGATCTCCTCTTTGTCCCGGGCGGCTCGGGCCTCATCCTCACTGCTCTCTTCCTCACCGCTACCACTCTTGTCACTCGCCTCATCCCTGTCACCCTCCTCCCGTTCACTCTCACTGCCAGAGCGCTCATCTTCGCTGCCTTCTTTTTCACTGCTGCTGCCTTTCTCGTGCTCCTCATCTGTAAGGGAACAGGGAGATATGAAACCCAGTTTCCTACCCTCCCAAGGGCTCCCAGGGTTTGGCTTATGTAGCTTTACCTGAGCCCCCAGCTTCTTTCTCTTCTGTCTCCATCTCCTCTTCCTCTTCCTCCTCAGGTTCATGGTTCTCCAGCTGGGCTTTCCGTGCCTCCTGAAAGCAGCAGGATTGAGGGGAAGAGGAGGGTATTCTATCAGGCTTGTGTTCCCCTCACCCACCACCACACTCCTCATGGGTGCACTGGGCCAGTGGTGCTCGTTACCTGAGCTTCTAATTCCTTCTCATTCATGTCCCGGTGTTTGACCACAAGCAGAGCATTGGTACCCGACTGAACCCCAGCCTTGGCCCGGCGCTTACTCAGGCGGACCCTAAAGTGGGCAAGTTGTGAGGAGAGGTGTGGAAGATGCAGTTAAAAACCCCCAGTGAGGGATCTGGTCTGACTTGGGTCTTCCTTACCAATGCTTAGTCCAGAACAGATCAGAATAAATACAGATTGAATAAGGGAGACCAACTCTGCTTTGGGGCAGGGGAGGGGAAGGATGATAGCTCCCAAGACACCAGCTTGGATGCCCTGCACTTTATAAAGTGTGTGTATACACACACGTAGAGATTTTAATGAGAATCTGTTACCAACACTTAAAAACACAGAATCTAGATTTCTGGCTTTTGGAAAATAATACTCTATGGCCCTACTGGGCCTTTTTGTCTCCTACAGAATATTAGCAATGGGTTGGAGCCCTTTGTTGGGCTGGGTCATGGCACCCACTTGGAGGTTGTCAAGATCTCTAGGTCACCCAGATCCAACCAGCCCACTGTGCTGCTTTTTGCATTTCCTGCCTGGTTTATCGGATCAGAATTTGTCATCTCTGCTTTAAACAGAAATTCAAGGTCACACTTTTTTCCCCCCAACCCTTACACCAAAGGCCCCAGCCAACAGTAAACTTTTAGCCTTCAGGAAAAAGCTTTGGGGGGTCACATTTTTAAACTTGCATATCCAGGGTTTCATTTAAAATATGCTAATATATGTATGCCCCATACTTTGGTTATGTTTATTTTTACACGAAGTCTCTTAATATCAGGGGACTTCGCTGTCTACTCTACACAAGAACTCTAAATATCTCCAGCATTACATAAAGATTTTTTTCTCTGGGTTCACAGTTTAAAACAAGACTTCTTCTCTTGCTTACAAATGCATATGACAAATCCTTAGGTATAAATGACCTCCAAGATCTTGACCCTGAAGCACAGTCCCAGGCTAATCTGAGGTAGGAATGTGCTGAGTACCTGGTCTCCAACTCATTGTAGTAAACTCCATCACCCTCTCGGAAGATGAAGAAGTAGTTTTCCTCGTAGCCCTTGCTAGCCTTGTTCTTCACATTCCAGTTATACTCCCGAGCAATCTTGTAGTCATACCTGAAGGTGAGGAGGACAGGGTTAGGCCAATTTCTTCCCTATGAGAGAGAAAGGGAGAGACACTTCTCAATCCCCAAAACCTAACTCCCAACCCACGCACACATCATCTGGGGCATAGTCCATTTCCTCCTCCTGGTCCCGTTTTCGTTTTTTCAACGTCTCTTCCACAGGCAGGAAGTAGGCAACAAACTGGTTCCCTTCCTCATCCATCATGCCCCTGGTTGGGGGAGGAGGAGGAAGAATGATGAGTGAGGACAAAGGATAATGAGCAGGCCAAGGTGGGCAGCAGGACCACTTACCTAATCATGGCCTGAGACATCATCTCTAATGCAGCTGCACCACTTGTGTCCTTGGGGGCTGGGTCTGAGTCAAAGATTACCTGAGCGCATGGATTGATCCACATCTGAGGGATGGAGGACACGGGGGTTAGCCTGAGACAGGCAGAGATGGCAGGTTATCCCCCTTTGCCTGCTGTCCCAGATCTGACCTTAAAGTCTGGAAAGACAGGCATGACCTCCACCGGTGTCACTCGGGGCTTGCTATAATGCTGGGAGATCTGGTGGGGGCAAAAACAGGGTGAGGAGGAGGGTGAAGAGCTCTGGAGCCACCCCTTTGTCTGCCTCCCCCATCCCAGTCCCTCAATTACCGATTTTTGGGCATCCTCAAAAGTCTTCTCAATGGCTGTGATCTGGCTATCCCTGTCTTTGTATATTTCTTCCTCAGTGAACTGCTGTTTCACAGAAACCCCAATCCTAGGGGTCAAGAGAAAGACCTTTAGGAGCCACTGGACATACCTGAAATTTCCACCTTCCCTCCCTACCCACCACAACTTACTTGACCTCAGGCTTCTCATTGGAGATACCATAACGATTGAACTCAGTGGAAATGTACTCTGTCTTCCGCATCCATGGTACCACCTTCGCATGCTGCTGCGACCTCAGGTAGAGGATCAGGAACTTAGGACCCCATTGCCCTGCTCCCATTGGAGCCAGTCCCCACTCATCACCCCCTCACCTCTTGGAGCTAGTGGGGGCCTGAATCTCCTCTTCCAGAAGCTTCTCATCAGCTGGATCTAGAAGTACTAGAGAAGAGCAAGGTGCAAGAGGACCATGAGGGAGGCCCAGGCCTGGCCTCTGCTGGCCTAAAACAGGCCCTCCCTGCCTCCCTACATACCACTGGGGTCAATGCGGTAGGTGTCAGGGTTGATCAGGTCAATGGTAACCCCCAGGTCTGGCTCTGTCAGGAGGTCATGTTTGTGCTGTTTTTCCAAGGAAGTCGCTTTGTACTGGACGAACCTGGGTGGGGACACATACCCATTATGGTTTTGATTCCAGCTTTACCCCTCACATCCCTGCTTCACAGAGGCTAAATTTCTCTAGGGAGGAACTCAGAGTGGGGTATCCCCCATGTTGGAGTCACAACGCTGGCTCTACAGTGGGAAGAGACTTGGACATGCTTGCTCATTAACAAATATTTATCAGGCCTCTACTACTATAGTAGGTGCTAGATATTATTCTAGGTCCTGAGGAGAGAGCAGTCAACAAGAGAAACAATCCTTACCCTCAAGGAGCTCATACTCTGAGTTGTTTCCCATCCCTAATCTTAGTCTCACCTGTTCTGGTCAAAGGGGTACGTGATGAACTTGGGGTCGAAGGGGATGTCAGGGAGGCTATTGCAGTACTTGACTCGGCAGACCACTCCAGACCTGGGAACGCAATGACTCATTTAGAAAGTTACTATGAAGGTCAAAAGAAAAAAGTATCAAACTACAATAAGTAGTGAGAACATACACAAAACAAAAAGATTGAAAACATAACAATAACATAAAATGTGGAGGGGGGAGTAAAAATGTAGTCTTATACAATATTTTCGAATTTAAATGCCTATCAGCTTAAAACAGACTGCTAATGGTATCCATAAACCTCATGGTAACCATAAACCAAAAACCTACAGAAGATATACAAAGAGTAAAGAGAAAGGAACCCCAACAAAATACTAAAAACCAGGAAACCACAAGAGAAGAAGAAAGGAACAGAGACTAATATAAAAACAACCAAAAAACAATGAACATAATGGCAAAAAGTGCTAATGGCAATAAGTACATGCCAATAAATGTAAATGAATTAAATGCGCCAATAAAAAGATACAGATGGCTGAATGGATTAAAAAACATGAACCATCTATAGGCTGCTTACAAGACACTTCAAATCTAAAGACATACAGACGGAAAGTGAAGGGCTGGAAAAAGATATTCCATGCAAACAAATTAAAAGAAAGGTGAAACAGAAATACTCATGTCAGACTTTAAAACAAAATTTTTTAAAAAAACACAGAGAAGGACATTAAATCATTATAAAGGGGTCAATCAAAGAAGAGAATATAGCAATCATAAATATGTATACACCCAACATAGAAGCACCTAAATATGTAAAGCAAATATTAATGGACATAAAGGGAGAAATCCACAGTAATACAATAATAGGGGATTTTAATACTCCACTCACATCAATGGGTAAGTTCATCCAGACAAAAAGTTAATAAAAATAATGGCCTTAAATATTACATTAGACCAGATAGACTTGATACTTACAGAACATTTCATCCAAAAGCTGCAGAATACACATTTTTTTAAAGTGCACATGGAACATTCTCCAGACTAAGCACATACTAGGCCACAAAACAAGCCTCAAATTCAAGAAGACTAAAATCATATGAAGCATCTTTTCCTACCACAATAGCATAAAACTAGAAATCAACTACAGGAAGAAAACTGGAAAAAAACCAAATACATGAAGACTAAACAGCATGTTACTAAATGGATCAAACGAGAAATCAAAAACTATCTTGAAAGAAATGAAAATGAAAACAACTTTTCAAAATTTATAGGATGCAGCAAAAGCAGTTCTAAGGAGAGTTCACAGTTATACAAGCCTACCTCAAGAAACAAAGACAAATCCCAAATAAACAATCTATACCTAAAGGAACTAGAAAAAGAAGAGCAAACCCAAAGTAAACAGAGGGCAGGAAATAGTATCAGAGTGGAAATAAGTAAAATAGAGATTTTTTTAAAATAGAAAAGATCAATAAAACTAAGAGCTGGTTCTTTGAAAAGATAAACAAAATTGATAAACCTTAAGCCAAACTCACCAAGGAAAAAGAAAGCCAAAATAAATAAAATCATAAATGAAAAGAAAAGGTACAACCAATACCACAGAAATACAGAGTCATTTAAAAAATACTACAAACAGGGCCAGCCAGTGGCTCAGTTGGTGAAGAGCGTGAGCTCTGAGAAACAGGGTCACAGGTTCAATTCCCACATGGGCCAGTGAGCTGTGCCCGAACTGAGCTGCTGCTGAGCTGTCAACAGGTGGCAGGATGGCTCAGCTGGTGTGAGCATGTGCTCCTAACAACAAGGTTGCTGGTTTGACTCCTGCATGGGATGGTGGGCTGTGCCCACCCACAACCAAGATTGAAAACAACACCTTGAGCTGAGCTGCTGCGAGCTGCCTTCACGCAGCCGGATGGTGACTGGACTTGGAGCTGAGCTAGCTGCACCTACCCACAACTAAGATTGAAGGACAACAACTTGACTGTTCCCCTTCCCAATTCCCCAACACTATTCCCCTTCCCCAATTCCCCAAAAAAATCTTTTAAAAAAAACCAAAACTACAAACAATTACATGCCAACAAATTCAACAGTCTAAAAGAAATGGATAAAGTTCTACAAGTATATAACCTTCCAAGACTGAACCAAAAGAAATACAAAGTCTGTTAAACACACCACTTACTGGCAATGAAATTGAAGCAGTAATAAAAAAACTCCCAACAAATAAAGTCCAGGACCACACTGTTTGACAGGTGAATTCCACCAAACATTCAAAGAATTAATACCTATCCTTCTTAAACTATTTTTAAAAATTGGAAAAGGAAGGAACACTTCCAAACTCAATCTACGAAGCCAACATTACCTTGATACCAAAACCAGACAAAGACATTACCAAAAAAATTACAAGCTAATATACTTGATGAACATAGACACAAAAATTCTCAACAAAATATTAGCAAACCAGATTCTACAATACATTAAAAGGATTATACACCATGACCAAGAAGGATTTATTCTGGGGATGCAAGGATGGTTTAACATCCATAAATCAATCAATGTGACATTACATTAATAAAATGAAGGATAAAAACTATATGATCATCTCTATAGATGAAGAAAAAGCATTTGATAAAATTCAATATCCTTTTATGATAAAAACTCAACAGGGTGGGTATAGAAGGAACATATCTCAACATAACAATATAAAAAACTCACAGCTAATATACTCAATGGTGAAAAGCTAAAAGCTTTTCCTCTAAGATCAAGAACAAGACAAGGATGCCCATTATCACCACTTTTTTTTTTTTTTTTTTTTTTTTTTTTTTTTTTTTTTTTTTTTTTTAGCAGCTGAGCCATCCTGCTACCTGTTGGCAGCTCAGCGGCTGCTCAGCTTGGGCTGGACTCGAACCGCTGTTGCTCAGAGCTCAAACTCTTGAGCAAGCTCTTAACCAACTGAGCCACTCGGCCGGCCCTCCATTATCACCACTTTTATTTGGCACAGATAGTACTGGAAGTCCTAGCCACAGCAATCAGACAAGAAAAAGAAAAGCCATCCAAATCAGAAGGGAAGAAGTAAAACTCGTTATTTTCATACAACATGATCTATATACAGTATTACCTTGGTTTGTGAGCATAATTTGTTCCTAGTTTGATTGCAAGACATCACTTGTTTACCAAATTAAAATGTATTAAAAATGTTTGCTCGTCTTGCAGAACACTTGCAAACCAAGTTACTTGCAATCCAAGGTTTTACTGTATATAGAAAACCCTAAAGAGTCCACCAAAAAACTATTAGAATAAATGAATTCAGTAAAGTCGCAGAATCAATATACAGAAATCTGTTGTGCTTCTATACACCGATAACAAATGATCAAAAGGAAAAATTAAGAAAACCACACCATTTACAGTTGCATCAAAAAGCATTAAAATATCAAGAGATAAATTTAACCAAAGAGGTGAAAGACCTGTACTCAGAAAACTATAAGACACTGAAGAAATAAATTGAAGATGCAAAGAAATGGAAGACATACCTTGCTCATGGATTATAAGGATTAATGTTGTTAAAGTGTCCTTACTAAAACAATTTACAGATTCAGTGTAATCCCTATTAAAACACTAATGGCATTCTCAGAACTAAAACAACTAACCCTAAAACTTATATGGAACCACAAAAGAGTCCAAATAACCAAAGAAATTTTGAGAACAAAGTGGATGGTATCAGTCTCCCTGATATCAAACTATACTATAAAGCTATGATAAACAGTATAGTACAGGCATAAAAACATATAGATCAGTGGAACAGAACAGGTAGTCCAGAAATAAATCCTCGCTTTATAGTCAATCTACAACAAAGGAGGCAAGGAAGTACAATAAGGTAAAGATAGTCTCTTCAATAAGTGGTGTTGGGAAAACTGGACAGATATATACAAAAAATTCAATTGGACAACTTCCTTACACCATATACAAAAATAAACTCAAAATGGATTAAAGACTTAATTAAATGTAAGACCTGAAACCATAAAACTCTCAGAAGAAAAACAGAGGCAGTAAAATCTTTGACATCACTCTTAGCAGTATCTTTTTGGATATGTCTCGGGCAAGGGCAAAAGAAAAAATAAACCAATGGGACTACATTAAACTGAAGTTTTTGTACAGAAAAGAAAACCATCAACAAAACAAAGACAACCTACTGAATGGGATAAGATATTTGCAAATGGTACAGTTGATAAGGGGTCAATATCCAAAAAATATAAGGAACTCATACAACTTAACACCAAAAGAAAAAAAAATGCAATTAAAAAATGGACAGAGGGGGCCGGCTGAGTGGCGCGTTGGTTAAAAGCTGGCTTGGGACGCCAGAGAGCCCCGGTTTGGATCCCACATATAAGGGCCAGTGACACTGCCCTCTACAGCTAAGATGCTGAACAGCTCAACCTGGAGCTGGGCTGCCATGAGTCGCCAGCAACGGCCCAGGCTGCAGCCCCTGCTGCAGTGGGTTGCCATGGACTACCGTGTATAGCCAGCAGCCAGAATAAGCGGCCAGCAGCTGCCGTGAGCGGCCATCCAGAAGCCAGCGACTGATCTGCCTCGCCCGGGAAGAGTGCAATGATGGTGCCAACTTGGGCCAGTGAAGCGACGTCCTCCACAACTAGACTTAAGAACAAAAGGACAGCAACTTGTCTGTTCCCCTTCCCCCAATTCCCCAGTGCTGTTCCCATCTCCCAATTACCCCATTAAAAAAAAAAAAATCTTAAAAAAAAAAAATGGACAGAGGATCTGAATAGACATTTCTCCAAAGACATATAGGTGGCCAACAGACATGAAAAGAGGCTCAGCATCACTAATCATCAGGGAAATGCAAATTAAAACCACAATGAGCTATCACATATACCTGTCAGAATGGCTATCATCAAAACATCAACACACAAGTGCTGGTGAGGATGTGGAGAAAAGGGAACCTTTATATACTGTTGGTGGGATTGTAAATTAGTGCAGCCACTATGGAAAACAGTATGGAGATTCCTCAAAAAAGTAAAAAGACATACACACCCCTATGTTCACTGCAGCATTATTAGTAATAGCGAAGATATGGAAGCAATCCGGATGGATGTCCGTCCGTATATGAATGGATAAAGAAAATGTGGTGTGTGTGTAAAATGGAATATTATTCACCAATAGAAAAGAATGAAATCTTACTATCTGGGATAACATGGGTGACCCACAGGTTATTATCCTAAGTGAAATACATTAGAGAAAGACAACATAATGCATGATTTCACTTATATGTGGAATCTTAAAAAGACAAAACAAAACAAAATAGAAAGAGACCCACAGATATAGAGAACAAGCTAACAGTTGCTAAAGGGGGTTGGGGTGGGGGGTTGGGAATAATAAAATGTGCTGATAATATTGGGGGTAGGGTGGAAACTGGCCCCTGCTGCCCCACCTCTGCTCCCTGCCCCCTTGGCCCACCCCTCCTAGAAAAACATAATGGGGCTCACCTCTCAGGCAGAGTCCGGTGGGAATTAGGCCTGGTGGGTAAGAGAGAGATATTGTTAAAAGATGAAGAGAAGGAGGCCCAGGTGAGTGGCACATTGGTTAAGAGTTGGGTTGGGAGCGCGAGCTCTGAGCAGCAGGGCTGCCAGTTTGGATCCCACATGAGGGCCAGTGGCACTGCGCCCTCTATAGCTAAGGTGGTGAACAACAGCTCAACCTGGAGCTGGGCTGCGGTGAGTCACCAGTGAATAGCAACGGTGGTGTGGGCTGCAGTGGGCTGCTGTAAGCTACCGTGAGTGGCGGGCAGCCAGCATGAGCCGGCAGCAGCTAGCCTGAGCTGCTGTGAGCGGCCGTACAATGGCCGACGACCTATCTGCCTCAGCCAGGAAGAGCACAATGATAATGCCAACATGGGCCAGTGAAGCGACATCCTCAACTAGATTGAAGAACAAAAAAGGACAGCAACTTGTCTGTTCCCTTCCCCGATTCCCCAACGCTTTTCCCCTCCCCCAGTTCCCCAATTAAAAAAAACAACAACACTGAGATTGATAGGAGAGTGAAGGGAACGTCTCCAAACTTTTAAGAAGTAAGAAGGGGAGGACAAATGCCAATCCTTTTGGTATGGGTGCACAAAGTGCTTTAATGGAGAGATCCAAGTGTTCAATTTCTTTTAGAGAAAATGCTCAATCCCTTTTGAAAAGGGTGTCTTCAAGTGTGTAATTAAAAAGAATCACGTGCTCAATTGTTTTTGAAAAAGGGGATCTCCAGACGCTTGATTGGAGGAATATGAGCCCAATCCCTTATGAATAAAGTCTCCAAGAGCTTAATCCCCGAACTCGATGGGGGGGGGGGCAACATCCCATCCCTGAAGGAACTCGCCTTCCTTCTTTAAACGTGAGCGCTACGTGACCTCACGAGCAGACCTGAGGGGCTACTGACATTATAGGTAGAGACCCAAGGCCGAACCCCGCCTCCCTGAAACCTGGACAGACTTAGAGGAAAGCGGTACAGCCAAGAGGTGTAACGCCTACCTGTGGCCATCCTCCCGCTGGGCCTGGGTCTGGATGGTGGGCGCCATGGCGACGAGACGATGGCAGTTCGGACTGGATTCTGCTGAGCCGCAAGGAGACAAGGTGAAGCGTGCTGACTTCGGCGGACACGAAATCCCACGCAGCGCTCGAATTGGCGCCCCAGTGTACGGGGTTAGCCTGGTGGGTTGAGAAGAGTTCCAGTACAGACTCAGGTAAACGCGCAGCCGCAAGTTCGCAGCTGCGGCTCCACCAACTGCCGCCAAGACAGTAACGCCCAGGCTCGTCGCCTCGAGCCGCGAGGCCTTCTGGGAAATAGAGTCCAGATTAAGCCCACCCGGATTGGCCAGCGGCTGGTTAAGGGGCCGACTGGACGCTGGATTTGAGAGTCAGGTGTTGGAGAACGGGGTGCATTTCCTTCTATTGGCTGAATTGCTTGAGAGGCGGAGCTAACTAGCAAACGAAGATGCTGAAAAAAAAAAACCGGACAGAGAAACTTGTGACGCATTTCCGGCGCTCTAGGTGAGGAAGATGGCTGCGTCCCAGCAGCAGGCTTCAGCGGCTTCCTCAGCTGCTGGTGTGTCTGGCCCAGGTTCGGCTGGTGGCCCGGGTAGCCAGCAGCAGCCGCAACCACCGACACAACTGGTGGGGCCTGCCCAGAGCGGACTTTTGCAGCAACAGCAACAGGACTTCGATCCTGTGCAACGCTATAAGATGCTCATCCCACAGCTAAAGGAGAGTTTGCAGGTGATTGGCCGGGAGCTTCAAGAAGCAAGGAGGGTTTGGCTGTCTGACTTAAGGGGGTGGGCGGAGGGGCTGTTTAGGCTGGGAGCGAACAAAAGAAGCGTTACGCAGGGAAAAGGAGACTTGGTCCTAGTGGGAGCAGAGCGGATGTTGAGCCTGGGATTGGCCGGAATTCAAGTGGGAGGGAGTTTAAAGGAGAAACCGGGCTCTGGTCGTTAATACCTGAGAAAGGACGCCTTGTACAGAGATTCTGCTTGTGATTGGCGGGTGAGGACTCTAAAGTGTGTCCAGGAGGTCATTGTCGAGAACCCCACGTGAGAGCGGGCCCCTGGGAAAATACAGGTGATTATTGCTATAGAGGAATGGAAACGGGAGTTACTCTGGAGTGACAGACGGTGTCAAGTGAAGAAGCCTGAGAGTGATTGGATCTTAAGAAAGAGTGTAGACTACCAAAAGTGTCCCCTTCTGTTTCTCCATTTCTCACTTTTATTCTTAAAACTAGACCTTGATGAAGGTTGCTGCCCAGAACTTGATTCAGAACACTAACATTGACAACGGACAGTGAGTATAGTCGCATATCTCAGGATGTCCCCCTATCTCCAACCCATCTTAGAAACTCATCCCCCAAGCCCCACCCACCCATCCTCCATTCCTCCTATTTTCAAGCTGGGTTCCCTAGCGCCTAGCCTTACTTTTTGTCTCTTCTACTATTAACAATTTCCTAGGCCCTGCCTCGAGGCTCCTGGGCCTATACCTGGTTTCCTCATGGTTACTTGGTTGGGTAGATGTCCCAGAGATCGGAAATCTCTTTCTCAGTCTCCTTCTTCTCCTGGGCTACAGAAAGAGCAGTGATGGACCCATACAGCGCTTTGACAAGTGTCTGGAGGAGTTCTACGCACTCTGTGACCAGCTGGAGCTCTGCCTGGTAAGGGGCCTCCTAGACAGTGGGTGACCACAATCTTGCCTCAATCCCTGGGTCTTCAGGAACCCTTATTCAGTCAGTCCACACACACACACACACACACACACACACACACACACACACACACACACGGCACCTCCTGAGGGCCAGACCTGTGCTTTAACTGATGCTGGGGACACAGTGTTGCCCTGATCTTTGCCCTCTCAGAGCTTCTAGTTCAGTGGGGTGACACACATCCCCAATCAGTAATGCCTCAGAGTGCTCAGAGCTGTGATGGAGAAACCCAGGCCTTAGAGATCAGGGCTGGGATAGGGGACTGGGAGCACAGTTAGAGAGGTCAGGATTGAAATGAGGGAAGCTCGGGGAGGAGGTTGGGGGGCTGTGGAAGCCCAGAGAAGGCGCCTGACCCTGTGTGGGATAGGGATAGGGAGAGAGTGACTCAGGGAAGGCTACTGGTGGGTAGCACATCTGAGCTGAGGCAGGAACAAAAATAGAGGCAGGGCAGGAATTGAAAGAAGGGCAAGTGGCTAAGAGCACAGCCTCTGGAATCAGATGGACCACCAATCTCTACGTCTGAGCTTTGGTTTCCTCCTTTGGAAAATGGTTTTTTGGGAAACACTCAGCAAGATCATACATGTAAAGTAATTAACCTGGTACTGGGCACATGACAAATGTTTCCTGTAGTATTATCAGTGTCATCTTATTTTGAACTGGGTTTTGAAAGAAGAGTTAGAGTTTTTTAAAGAAAAGAAGGCTGATAGTGGTAGAAAGGCTTCAACTAGAAGGAACAGCTTCTGCTTTAAGTTCCTTTTAGGAACTTAATGAAATTCAGTCTGGCTAAGGTGTAGTTGGGATTGGGACTTGCTGAATTTTGAATATAGCCCTGAGGGTGCTGGGGAGCCATCCAGAGTTTCAAGCAGGGAAGAACATGGACCGATGCTTTTTTAGGAATATGCCTCTGGCTGACAGATGAAGGATGGATTAAAGGGGCCAAGAGTGGAGGCTAGGAACCCAAGGAGGCAGGCATGGCAGGATTCACTGGGCTAGGCTCCACCAGGACAGGGCCCTGAAGAAGTGGGAAGGGCCGATGGGAGAGAAACTCAGAGGCCATTGGAACTGACAGGTTGCAGGAGGAGAAGCCTCCAGGATGAGGCCCAGGGCTCTAGTTGGAATGGTAATGCCATCTTGGAGACAGAAACCTAGGAAGAGGAGCAGTTGGGGGTGGGGGGAGTGTGAGAGCTCTGGAACAGGGGAGGCCGGGGACACAGATGTGCTATCATCAGTGCAGAGGTGGGCACTGAGTGGTATGTGGGAATGAGACAGCCTGAGAGGACATGAGAATTAAAGGAGGAGATGGGATGTGGGAATTGCTGCATTTAAGGCTTGGGTAGAGTAAGAAGTACCTAGAAGGAGCAACCAAAGAAGTGGGAGGAAAACTGGGAGCAGATGCCATCAGAGAAGCCACTGCCAATGCCAAGCCTGGGGTTAGTACAGTCACAGTCATAGTAGCTAACATTCACTAGTTAGCACTTAAGTGATGTGCCAGAACCTGTGCCCGTCCCACACCCTGTTCTCACCATTCTCACCGTATGAGGTAGCTGAGACAGTTATTAAACCCATTTTCCAAAGGAGGAAACAGTCTCAGAGAGGAGCAGTCGCCCACCTGAGCTCACCCAGCAAGTGATTAGCAGGGCTAGGTTCTGACCCCAAGACCTTAGAAGTCCAGGGACCAAGCGGGCTACCCCAGGCTGGTCCTTGGGGCGGGGTTGGTGGTACCCAGAGTGAGGCTGATGTTGCACTTTGCCTGCCTATCCACAGCGCTTGGCACACGAGTGCCTATCACAGAGTTGCGACAGTGCCAAGCACTCTCCAACACTGGTGCCCACAGCCACCAAGCCCGACGCAGTTCAGCCTGACAGCCTACCCTATCCACAGTACCTGGCAGTCATCAAAGCCCAGATTGCCTGTGCCAAGGACATTCACACTGCTCTGCTGGACTGTGCCAACAAAGTCACCGGCAAGACTCCAGCACCACCTACAGGCCCTGGGGGTGCCCTGTGAGCTGGCAGGGCTGGGAGTGGGGCAGGCTGTGGGGGAGGGGGAAAGGGAGGGAATGAAGAGTGGCCTCAAAGCAGCCTTGTCTCTGACTTTTCTTCCCGGCTGAGTACTGGGACCGAAGCCAGCAGGGGGCAGCAGAGGCCAGCAGAGAACGCACAGGGCGGGGCCTTGTCTCTGCTGGCTGCCTGATCTCCTTCCTAGCAAGAGTGGACTTTGGCCCGTGCCTGATGATGATATAAGGGGCGCTTCCCCTACCTGGCCTGGGTATGAAGCCCTAACTGGGCCGCTCTCCCGCTATCCTTAACTTGATTCTGTTCCAGTTTGAGCATGATCTCTGTCTGCTCCTTTTTCTAGCTCGCCCGTCTTCCATTGAGTGTCTGCTGCTTGTGTCTGTTGTCTCTCATTCAGTCTCTTTTTGTCCCTATGTCTGTCTCCCTGTCTCTGACCTTCTCTCTCCCAGTCCCCCTTTGCTGACTTCTGCCCCCAGCTCCTCACTGGGACTCTGTGTCTATGAAGGAGGCCAGATTCTGGGAGCCAGAACCCCTGGATTACCTGGGGAGGGAGCTTCATATCCAGGGGCTACAGCCAAGCCCAAGATCCCTAGCACCTCCCATTTCAGCCCAGCTCCCAGTGTCCTTGGCCAAGGAAAGGGGAAGTGGAGGGGTCTAAGCCCTGACCTCAGCATGCCTGGTCAGGGAGCACCTCAGGCCCCCACCCATACCCGGGGCCTGGGCCTGCGTCAGCAGCACTCAGACTAGGGGCATTGTGCAATCCGCGGTGAAGCCTAGCCCAGCTGGAAGCCTGGGTCCCTATATTTTTAGCCCCAAAGGAGAAGTGAAAAGGCCCCAAAAGGGGTGAATCATCAGTCCTGGGGAAGAACCCAGGCGCCTGAGCCCCAGCTCCTCCGGGAAGCAGGCCTTGGGGAGGGGGCTTCGGGAAGGGATTACCCCAGTGGGCTCCCTTCTCTGAGAGCAAGCTTCAGAGATCTCAGCCATGGCCTTCAGGCCTGGGCAAGTGCAGGGTGGAGCTCGCAGCCCAGGCCCAGCTGGTGGGGTGTGAAAGGCTCAAGTGACTCAGCCTGGTTGGGGTACTGCCCCACCCAACACCTTCTGTGCCCTGGTTCCCATGTCACTGCCCAGAGGCCTCCTCTCCTGGACCCCACATCTGCAAGGAAACCCAGAATCATGTAGACCTGTGATTCATCCAAAGCCCAAGTCCCCACGCGAGTCCTCAGAAATGGCCAGCGGGTGTGCGTGTGCATGTGGCATGTGTGTACATCCCAGGAGGTTCCTTCCCCTTCTCCCTGTCCTCCCTTGAAGTGCCAGGCACACAGGGCAGGCCCTCAGGGAGGGCAGCAGACTGGGGCACTAGCTGAAGCTGCTATCCACAGGTAGACTTTCTTCCTCAGGGAAGCCACAGCTCTGTCCATTTATTTGACTAAATCAGTCCCTTCACCTGACTTCCCAGATGTAGGATAATCTCCTTTACTTAAAGTCAACTGATTATGGACTTGAATCATATCTACAAAATACCTTCACAGCATCATCTAGAATAGTCCTTGATTGAATAACTGGACATTGTAGCCTAGCCAAGTTGACATGAAAAACTGACCATTATCTAGTCCTTGTCAATTTGGTACCCATACACATCCTCAGCCATAGTTAGCCTCCAGATAAATACAATAATAAAGTCCTATTCCCATCTAACATGATGCAATTATCTGTGTACAACCAAAAATGAACCTTCCGCAGAAGAGCCCACCAGTTTCCAGCCTGAGGGTACAAGCAATTGAGATGTGTCAGACCATAGGCACACACACTCAAGACTGAGGTACAGCTGGTCCTGTGAAGTGGAGTCAACACAAGAAACTAAGAAAATCAAAAGGAAGGAAAAGTACATTTACAGTTATTTATTGAAAAAAATCCACATATAAGTTGAACTGCCCAGTTCAAACCCTTGTTGTTCAAGGTCAACAGTATATCAGAAGTTCCAAGAAGAAAACTAAAGTAGAAAACTGGGATCAGAAGTGGAGAGAGATTTTTAATAAAAAAAACAAAAACAAAGGTACGTAGGAATCTAACAAAAGCAAGATTTGTGTATTGAGAATTATGTTACTTTATTGAACAAAGTTTGAGAGCTTAGGTTGGTAGTGGTTTATGGGTATTATGTCTGTAAATAGATGTTACATGTATTTGTTAAATATAGCATGATTTTTTTTTTTAACTTCAAAATCCTTGACATGACATGAAGGTCCTGCTGAGAATGCAGACTTGGAGAGAGAATAAGTCATGAGGACATTGGGGGAAAGAGAGTTCCAGGGAGAGAATGGCAAGTGCAAAGGCCCTGAGGCAGGAAAGTGATAGTGTTTATAGAATAACATGGAGTCCTGGACCACAGTGCAGAGGCTGGGACAGAAGTCCACGCAGGTTATGGAGGACCTTGGTTTAGTTCTTGGTTATTTGACCCAGAGGGCAACTGTACAACCTGGTACACAGCCATACACTCCAGGGAAGGGTGTACATGAGATGCACTGCCACACAGCAAACTGTTTTGGGGAACACAGGCACATACGACACCCCACCCCAGCAGAGAGGAGTATAACCCACCATCCTATAATCATGGTGTTCCCAGGGTCTCAGTCCCAGTGACAAGCCCACAACCGACTAAAGGAACAATCCATGTGATTATACAAACAACACTCTAACCACCACTTAACCTGCTATCTCTTACCCCATCGCAGACTTTGCCCATCACAGGCTGACTCAGCCCTGCCCTCACCTCAACATCAAAAGCCTTGGCTGGGGAGAGATAAGGTTTCCCAGGTGCCAGTATGCGTGCCTGTGTGTATCTGCTCTGCCCCAACAGGCTGGCAGGAACAGACATTGAGTGGAGAGTGCCGCCGCAGCCTCCCCATCATGCGCCAGCTGTAGACGTCAGGAACCAAAGTTCACCAGTTTCACTACCTTGTGACTGTGCCACAGAGGAACCACATCTAGATGCTGGCCTCGCATGTTCTCAGTGACACCCCCAAATAAGGACACAGACACATAATAACACTATTCATTACACACATGAGCTGCAGGGGCCTTGCACATAACCCCAGCTGCCAATAGTCTCACAGATGCTTACACACACTCAATCTAGAAGCGGGTATGCAGAGATCTTCATCGGGCCAGAGGGCAGTCAGTCATACATACCCTCACTCGGCTCCATCAAGGAGTTACACACACTTAGTCACTCCAGATCCCACAGTGGTTCACAGGTACAGAGACCTGCAGGTTGGGTATGTAAGTCACACCAACACCACCTCAAAGACAAGGTTCAGTACACACTCCCACACCCAGAGATGGTTAAAGTAAACAGTATAAATCAGTCACACAGGCCCAAGTGGTTTCACACAATTTATTCACAGCCATGTCAAGTGGGATTGAAAGTACACAGCCCTCACACAGGAAAGTGGGCCCGCTTGTGTCCCACACCTGTTTGCCCAGTCGCATACCCACGCACCCCAGGTCTTACACACCCAGTCACGCCGGGGCACCTGCAACGCACACCTCTCACAATATCAGACACACACATTGCTGGCCCACGTAGTTGCACACAGCGGCCGCACCCAATCACGCCAGGCGCACATTCGGCCCGGGCACACGTGCCCGAGTACACAGCCCCCGTTCACCCGCGCACTCGCCCCGGCTCTCACACCCCCGCGTTTCCCGTCCCCGCTTGTTTTTCTGGAAACTCTGCTCCGCTCCCCTCCCCCTAGGGCGGAAGTACTCGTTGTATTTTTAGCTTCTCTGGTTTCCGCCCCTTTCCCCCAGCTCCTGCCAGCCCAGGACTTGCCCCCTGCACCCCGCAGGGGACCCCGGCGATCCCCTTCCCCACCGTCATTCCAGAGGGGATTCCCGGCCGCTGCTGGGGCCACGGATTTTCCCGCTGGCTACGTGGGACGTGGGGAGGAGTCCTGCCCTGAACTTCCTCCTGGGCTGGGACGCCTGAGGCCAGGATAGGGTGGGAGGTGGGTGGAGAACTGGCCTCCTAAATCGGAGGGAGGAGGGGCTGGGGGCTCGGACTCTAGAGTCTAACCTAGAAGTCGGCGCTCCTGGGTCCGAGCCAGGAGGTGGCTTGGAGACCCAGACCCCTAGATCTGAGCAAGGAGGGGTCGAGGCCCGGGCTCCTGGGTCCCACCCATCCGGGTTTCGGGTGGGGGTGGGGGGTCGATCCTTCCCGAGGCAAAGCCCCCAACCCCCTCCAGCCTCTTCGAGAGTCGCCCAATCCCAAGCATCCAGGTTCTTGGGCCTATGACTCAGCAGATGGGAGAGGGGAGGGGGTCAGCCTGACTCAGGAATGGGAACTGCTCCCTGTCTCCAGGGAATCGAAACTGGATTCCCTCCTCCAAGATCGCGGCCGGAACCAAGCCGGACTCCAGGGACCCCAGGGTTCCCCACCACCACCACCACCACCTCCCCTTTTCCTGCTGCCTTCGTCCTATTAGCGGCACAGGGATTTGGAGTCCAGGCGGGAGAAGGGTGCCAGGCACCTCCCCTTTTCCCCTTTTCCCGTTGTCCTCGAGGCTTTGTTTACAGGCGACTGAAGCCCTGGTTACAAGAGAGGAACCCTGGCGTCCGGGCTGAGCCTCCTCGTCACGGCTTCCAGGAAGGCCCCCTCCCCCGCCCCTTGCGAATGAGTCACGGGCGAGCGGGAGGCTGTAACCGTGCCAGAGCCGCCCGCAGCCACCCAGCTCACGGGACCGGCCGGGAAGGCCCCTCGGCCCCAGAAGGCGCCGCACCAGGGATTCCCCCGAGCTCTGTCCGAGAGGACAGGTCGGTGTGCCTTGCCGCATCTCCCCACCTAAATACAAGTCCGCAGTCTCGGCCTGAAAGAATGAACTTTGCACCATTATAACTCTACTCCGTGGCATTGGTTTCTGCTCCCATATTTTCACACAGGGCAGCCAGCTCACCAAGACTCCCTAAAGAAACGAGTTTTCTTCCTATATCTTGATGTTTTTACAAAGGGCAACCCCTTGACAATAAACGGCTTGCTTATGTGGGCAGTGATCGCCATAAGTTTAGAATTCCCTAAAGGCACTACTTTATGATACTCATTGGGCCATCGATTGGGAATGACCCATTACTTCCATCTCAAAACAGCTTTACATCAAGGCAACCCTCCACTACAATTAAAGATCTTGCCCTTTCAGATCTTGAGTTTTCTGAGAGGGCAAACTCAACATAATTTAAGGTCCTGGTGTTGGGCTGCTGCCACTTATTAAGTGGGACTAGGAGAGTAACTTGACCTCTATGCCTGGGTTTTCTCGTGTGTAAAATGGTCACAGTAACCCTCCCTTGAGTAACCTATATATGTAAAGCACTTTCATACAACAGTGCCTAGTCCAGAGGAAGCCATCAGAAGAAGTGCCACTATCTGGGGGAGGAGGGCAAGAGGCTACAATGCCTCTGGAATTGGGAAAGGAGGCCCCTTTCCAACCTCACCAAGCATCCAGGATCCCACCCCTGGAGAATGGGGGCGGGGAGGGCCGTCAAGTTCTCCGAATCTGGGGTGTTTGAGCGAGACCAAGTCAGGCCGGTAGGTATGAGAGCATTCCCTGCCAAGCCTGTTGGTTGCCTCTCTCTGTTTTGCTCCTGCGGATTTCTGTCTGCGGGTGTTGGTCCCTTTTTTCTCCCTTTTTCTGTTTCTTTATGTGTTTCTTCTCTCTCACTTCTCACACTGAATTTGTCTTTGGGACTGTCTCTGTCTCCCCACCTTCTCTCCTCACCCAGTCTCTCTCTTCTCTCTTTGCTTCCCTGTGTATGTCTCTCTCTTCCTCTGTTGTGTTTCTGTGTTTCTGTTTGCGTCTCTCCATTTCTGTCTCTGGCTCTCCGCGCCTCTCCCCGCCCCCGTCCGTCTGTCTCTCCCTCGCACTCCCACAGCCTCGGCCCCTGCCCTTGTAAAATCTCCTAGGAACCCTGCCCCCACCTCGGTCCCAGTTCCTAACCCCGCGCCTCAGTCTCCAGCCTTGAAAACTGGGCCGACACCCCCACCCCACGCACTCCTAGCGTGGTCGCGGCCGTCTGCGGGCCCACCTCAGGTGCATCCCAGCTGGGGGCCGGGCGGAAGGGGACCAGTCAGTCCCAGGCCTGGCAGGCTGTACTGGGCACCCGCGTCCGGGAAGCGCCCCTCGTGGCCCCGCCCACCCATGGCCCCGCCCCGCCCCGCCCCGGTCTCTATAAAAGCTCCTCCAGCTCGCGGTAGTCTTACTCCAGCGCTCCTATTTTCGGCTGGGTGCACCGCTGATCGGCCCTCTGCGCCGCCATGGATTTCACCGCCGTCTACAAGGTGAGTCCCCGCCGATCGGCACCCTGGGGTCCCCATGTCTGACCTCCTTCTCAAATTAGGGCTCTTTAACGCCGCACATTCCGGCCCGGGACCCCTGGCTCCCTTCTCAAAGTGGAGCTCCTTAGCAACGTACTCTCCGGCCCGGGCTCTTGCCTTCCTTCTCAGACTAGTGTGATTCCTTGGAGGTAAAACATGGAGTCCGGGACTTTCGGGTCTCTGCCCAAACATGGGTGGGGTGGCCTTTGGAGATGGAAAGCTGGAGGAGTTTTCTCAGACTAGGGCTGTCTGGAGGCGGAAATGGCCCCACACCTGGCTTCCCCCCAGTAGTTGCTGAGGGCGCGGTTTTGCGCGGAGGCGTTTCTGGGGCTGGAGTCTCGGGGTGATGGGAAGACGACTTCTGCCTCCACTCCCTGACCCAGAGGAGCTCTCTGGGACTCAAAACCTGAGAGATCCAACTCTTAGGTTAACTTTGCCGGCTCCTCCAGTTGTGAAACGGGAGAACACAATGCGCGGGGGTCAAATCCCGAGAGGCCCAAAGGTTCGAAATTGGAGGACATTGGTGTGCCCTGAGTTTGCGGGCCCCTCCATCCAGCCTGGGGACCCCAGGATTCCTGGGTCCTTTGAGATACAGTTCATTCGCTAGTAAACTCAACTTCCAATTCAGGGTCCCTGCGATCCGGAACCTATGGGTTTCAGCGGGCGGGTGGAGCGCAGGCTAGGAGCCCACAAACCGGACTGGCAAGCTCTTAGGTGCCCTGCAGCTGAGGAGAGGCGTCACCCTGCATTTTCGGTGTCTTAACCGATCCCTGTTCCCACAGAGCATCCTGTCGCTGAGCCCTGACCTGACATCTGACCATGGAGACACTGAACCCAGCCCGAACTGGGCCTCCTTGGGACTCTGGAGCCTCAGCTCATCTGACTCCATACCGGCTGGGGTTGCTGCCCGCCTGCCTGGCCGCTCCACCAGCCTAGTGGAGGGTCGCAGCTGCGGCTGGGTGCCCCCACCCCCAGGCTTCGCACCCCTTGCTCCCCGCCCAGGCCCTGAGCTGTCGCCCTCACACACCTCACCTCCTGCGACCCCCACCACCTCATCCCGATACAAGACTGAGCTATGTCGGACCTTCTCAGAGAGTGGACGCTGCCGCTATGGGGCTAAGTGCCAGTTTGCCCATGGCCTGGGCGAGTTGCGCCAGGCCAGTCGCCACCCCAAATACAAGACGGAACTCTGCCACAAGTTCTACCTCCAGGGCCGCTGCCCCTACGGTTCGCGTTGCCACTTCATCCACAACCCCAGCGAGGACCTGGCTGCCCCTGGCCACCCCCATGTGCTGCGCCAGAGCATCAGCTTCTCAGGCCTGCCCTCGGGCCGCCGAGCCTCGCCACCACCAGCAGGCCTGGCAGGCCCATCCCTGTCCTCATGCTCCTTCTCGCCCTCCAGCTCCCCACCACCACCACCTGGGGACCTTCCACTTTCACCCTCTGCCTTCTCTGCTGCCCCTGGGACCCCTGTGGCCCGAAGGGACCCTACCCCAGCCTGTTGCCCCTCCTGCCGACGGGCCACCCCCAGCAGCATCTGGGGACCCGTGGGTGGCCTGGCTCGGAGCCCCTCTGCACATTCCCTGGGATCTGACCCAGATGAATATGCCAGTAGTGGCAGCAGCCTAGGAGGGTCCGACTCCCCAGTGTTTGAGGCTGGGGTTTTTGGGCCACCCCAGCCACCTGCAGCCCCTCGGCGACTCCCCATCTTCAATCGCATCTCCGTGTCCGAGTGACAAGTGCCTGCCCAATACAGATCAGCTGGATCTCAAGGGGGGCCATTTCTCTTGTGCTGTGGGGAACTCTTGTAATCAAGTAGCCCCTTGTCTTCCAAAATGCATTAACCCACTCCGCTGACCCCATGCTGGGGCAGGTCCCCAGTGTGCAAGCTCAGTGTTCATGGTGTTGGGGAAGGAGTGTATTCTGAAGTCTTTTTTTATAAAAAAAGATGTAGCAAATTTAAGGGAGGCAGTGAGCCCTGTTCCCCCCACCTCTCCCCTGCCCAATGCTGTGAATAAATAGGCCCCCACTGCCCCCTCCCAGTTTTTCCTAGACCCCGAGGTTCTGGTGTGACTGGAGCCTCCCTATGAGGGGCAATCCTGGTGCTCAAGTTTCCCTCCAAAAGCAAGTAGCCAAAGCGTTGCCAATTCCCCTTCCCCCATCATTAGGCCCTTTATTTATGACGACTTTATTTATTCTAATAGATTTTATAGTATTTATATATATTGGGTCGTCTGCTTCCCTTGTATTTTTCTTCCTCCTTTTTGTAATGGAAACGATGGAATAATTATTGTTGTAAGTGTACTATAATAATATATTAAGTAATATATATTGTTAAAAGTTTATTTTTGTGTTTTTTTGAATTTTTAAATAAAAGGCATCTGTGTGTAAACTGGAATCCTGGCTTTTACGCTATCTAGAGGCAGTGAGGTTGGGGAGGATAGTGTGGCCCTTAGTAGAAGCGAGTTGAGTCGATTCACAGTTCCTCCAAACCTTCCCGGAGCCACCACCACCACCAGCCGCGCTTACCTGGCAGGAAGTGACGTCACCTGACCCGGCCGTTCACCTGAGGGGGCGGGGCCAGGTGAGGTCACTCGGTAGGAACCGGGAGAGCCAGTTCCCGGGGCGTAGGGGGCGCAGGCGCTCCCCTCTTGTCGGGCTCTTTGACCCAGCTCTCAGCTAGGCGCGGGCGGGGACGGGATGTTTCCGTCCCCGCGGGGCTGAGGGAGGAGGGCGGAGCGGCGCGGGGAGGACGGAATGTGCTGGGGCGCAAGCCCAGGACGGGCGGGGGCGGGGGGAGGGTCAGTCGGGAAGCCGGTGTGGCCTGGGGGCCCACCACCCAGCCTTCCAGGACCTGAGGGGCTGGTGGACTCAGACTCTCGCAGTCTTGGGGGAAACAGTTTTAAAAGTCTCAGGATTCTAGAATCGCAACATTTTGGAATCTCAGAGCTAGTTTCCCGGACATTTAGGATTCTAGACCCTGGTTGTCTCTGTGTTAGGAATGGCGAAATTGTAGCTTCTGGCTTTCCGAGACCTCAGAGCCTCGGAAGTACTGCACCTTGGCCGGTCCGGAGTCGAGAAATTTGGAATTGCGGGATCTTGGCCTTTCTGCGCCCACGAAACGCGAGGTCCGTGTGTGTGGGCCGCGGGCGCGTGGGGGCGGGGCCCGGGACAGCGGCGTCCTCGGACCATACAAGGCAAGAGGCGGCGTGTCGGACCCACCCTGGGGCGCGGAGCCCGGAAGCCGCCCCGCGTCAGTGCCCGCGCCCCGCCTCCCTTCCGTCGCGGCGGCCTCCCCCTTGACCCCTCTTCCTTCTTCCCCCCTTTTTCCTCTCCCCTCCCCCCACTTCACTCTGCTCGCCTCTCTCCACCTCCACCCCTTTTCTCCCTCTCAGTTCCTCCTGTCCTTACCCGCCTGCGACGCCCCTCCCGTCTTCCCTCCCCCACTCCAACTCTTCCCCTCCACCCTTGTACTTCTGTTCTCCTGCCCCTTTTAATATCTTTCCCTTCCAGCCCCCCAGCCCCCTATCTTTATCCCCTCTTCCCTTTCTTACCAGTTCCCCTTCTACCCCTTCCTTCCTTCTCTCACCACCCTTTCGCTCCCTGCCTGCCCTCTCACTACTTGTCCCTCCTAGTTCCACCTCCCTTCCCCACCGCTTTGCTCCTTCTGCCCTTCCCCAACCCGTTCCCTCCCTCCAGCTCCTTCCCCTCCTTTCTCCCCTCCCCTCACCTCAGGCCTCCTAGGCTCTAACCCCTTGCTCAGAGGCAGGCCCTGACCTTTGATCCCTTCTTGGAAACTGCGGGAAGGCTCACTTAGGACCCCGTACGTAGGAAAAGAGGACTGGGAAAGATAGAAACGCAGGAACCTAAAGACATTGGGGATGCAGAGAGGAAGAGCAAGCCTTGCAGAGACATTTACAAACACTGAAAGAATAAGAAACAAATATCTCTGGTCCTTCCCTTAGCAAAAAAACAGATGTTCTGCCCCTTCTCAAGAAAACCCCTTCATTTAAGAGAATGGTACCACCAGCTACCAGTGCCAAACACTGTGTAGTCCCCTTGACTCCTCTCTCTCAAACCCACACCCCAGTCAAACAGCAATCCTATCTGATTTACTTTCTAAATAGATCTACAATCCACCCTCCTGCCTCCTGTGGCCTCCACCCTGGTCCTATCCAGCATCACCTCCCACCTGAAACATCACATCAGCCACTCCCTAGTCTCCTGGCTCTGGCCTCTGCCCTCAGTCTGTCCCCACTCCCCCATGGATAACCTGAAGGGAACCTGTCATGACACCTGAGTGAGATCACATGAAAGCCAAAGTCCTAAGTCCTCACCAGCCTACCTGGCTTTACTCTCATCTTTGGTCACTCTTGCTCGAGCCACACTGGCTTCCTAGCTGCTCCACCAATAAATACATCCGACATGCTTCAGCCGCAGGGCCTTTGTGCCATCTGCCTGAAATACTCCCCCAGGTATCCCCACTGCTCACTCCCCTCCTTCAAGTCTCTGCTCAAATATCTCCTCAGTGAGATGGCCCATGGGTACTCATTGCAACCCACACTCCACTTCCCACCCCACCATCCTCCCTAACTTGCAGTAGTTAACCCTTAATCATCATCAAACATGTAAAATGTACTTAGTTCCTATGTTTATAGGAATCTGCCTCCCACTAGAATGTCAAATTCTCAGGGACAGGGATTTTGTCTGTTTATGCCTAAACCCTAAACAAGGAGCTGAGCTGGTCACATAGTGGATATTCAGTATTTGTTGAAAAAACAAGTCAATTCAGAAATGAGGAGAGAAAGAGTGAAAACTCTTAAGACATACAAGAAAAAAATAACTGTGAGGTGACTGATGTTAACTAAACCTATCCTGATAATCATGTCATATTTTATACATAAATCATTATGTTGTATACCTTGGACTAATACAGTGCAATGTTAAATGACAATTATATCTCAATGAAACGGAGAAAAAAATCCAAGACACCAAAACAGAGAAAGACAGGGAAAGAGGCAGAATGCCATATACAGGTTTGTGGAGGTCCCACAGCCTAACACATCTACGCAAGTCTTGAGCTGAGATTTGCAAGCCTAATTAATTGTTCAGGCATCTAACAGGCGATACCACCCTCTGGCGCCCAGGATGGAAACGGCACCTCTCCGCAATACAGAACTCCTTAACCGACCAACAACGAGTCCTTGGAGTCTACAGTACGAAAATTCAAAGATTGAAATAGTCACTCCTCTAAGTGATGAAGATGTTTTGGTTGATTTATAAAATGTATACGTTTACAAAAGCTGATAAGAAAAAAAATCAAAAGTGCTCCAGGTGAGGATCGAACTCACAACCTCGGCATTGCTCCGCTTGCACTGTCATATAAGTACCGCGCGCTAACCGATTGCGCCACTGGAGCTTCGGCCGCACCCTCGCTCCGCCGGGTTCTTCAGTCGTTCGTGAACACGTGACCTCGCTGGATAGTTCTCTCTTAGGTTGCATATGTAAATAGAATTCTTTGGTTGGCCAATAAGAGAAAGTGTGTGACCAGTTCCGGATTCTCACGCCTCGAAGGACCTTGCTGTAAAAGGGAAAAGTCCGCGAGGCGTTTGGAATGTGGGGGTGTAGCCTGCCTGGGACTCGCCTTCTCATGAATATTTAGAACCCAGGGAGCTGGAGTTTTAACCCTTCGCTGGCTGGGTGGCCGGAAGGCGGCCCCTCCCCCCTGCGGGCGGGAACAGGATATGAGCCCTGGCGGTTGGGGGGAGGGGAAGCCCCAGGCGACCGCCCCCTGCCCCACAGCTGGGACCAGACATTCCCGCCGCAGATGTGGCGCCGCCGCTGCCACCGCCGCTGCCAGACCCCTGTGCCACCCATCCTGGAATCTGAGGGGTCCAGAGTCGTGGATTCCGGCTTCCCGAGTCTCTGTACCGCGTCCTGAGAGACCCTGAAACACAAGCCCCCGCGTCCAGGCTAGAGGACCCTAGATATCCAAGTGCCCAGCGCCCCCTCCTGGAGGAGCCGGGAGTCCGGGACATCAGCCCCGCGCGACCCTGGAGGGCGGGCGAAACTCTTACACCCCAGTTTGAAGAATTTAGGAATCTAGACCGGAGGTCTTGTCCAGGAGTTCCCAGAAATCCCAGCTCGAGACTACGGGGGTTAGAGGAACTTGGGTTATGGACTCCTAGCTCCCCAACCCGTCTGTTTTGCGCAGAAGTGCCCACTACTTCAAGGAGACTCAGGAATTGAGGACTCCCCTGCACTCCCGCCTGGAGGTGATTTAATTCCTGCTCCTACAGTTGGGGGAACTCAAGAATCCGGGCCGCCCATGGCCCTATCTAGAAGTCTCAGGAATTTGGGTACCCAGCACCCTCATCTGAGACTCAAGAGTGGAGGCTCCTAGCAGCCTCCGTTTAGAGAACCAAGAAATTCGGACCGCTGCACCCCAATCAACAAGAGATGTTGGATTGTGGTTCCCTGAGCGCCCGAAGTTCACGACCCTGACTTGCAGAGACCCAGGAGTCCCGGCTCTGCGCTTCCGGGGGGACCGTGCTACGGTCGAATAAGAACCAGGCTGCCTCGGTTCGGGGTTGGATACTCCGGGGGAGGTGAGGGGGAAGGCGAGGGGCCCCGACTGGCTGGGGGAGGGGGCGGCGCCGCTGCCGCTGAACAATGAGGGGGCGTGCCGGCGGGGGGCGAGCGGAGGCGCCGGCGGGAGTTTGGGTCTGGCGGAGTGTGGGAAGGCGCTGTGGACCCAGTCTGCGGCTGTGGGGACAGTGAGCGGATCGCGGAGGGACTGGCTGGAAGGGGGACGTCGAGGGCCCAGAGCCAGCGCCCAACTCGCCGCCCTCGGTGGGGGAGGGAGCCGTCGGCAGGACCCTGGCATCCGGTCCCCCAGCCTCCTCCTCCCTCCCTCGGGACCCCGGCGGCCTCCCTCCCACGGCTTTTCCCAGCCCTGCCCCTCGCCTTCGGCTCCAGCCAGAGCCCAACCGTTCCCAGGATCCCTCCCTGAGCCTCCCGGCCCCAGAAAGACCGGACTCCTAGCTTCGGCGACTCTTGCTCTCTTCACTCTTCTTTGTCTCAACCTTTCCATCTTTTTCTCTATGTTATCTATCCTTGTTCCCCTCTTTCTATCACTTTGCCTCTGTCTGTCCCATGAGTTACTCCCAGGGGGCCCTCCCTAGATTTAGACCACGCTCCTAATTCTCAGCCTCCAGTCTGTGAATGTGGGCGGCAGGGAGGCCTGTGGGGTCCTGATATCCAAGAAGGGGGTCTTTCTGCAGAAGCCGCTGAGCCACTCAGCCATGCCTGAGGGAGCCCGTGGACTGAGCCTGCCCAAACCCAGCCCTCGCCTTGGCCCCTGCTCCAGAGGTGAAGTGTGTGACTGTTCAACTGTGTGTGAGACTCAGACAGGTGAGCATGCAAGAGAGGGGTGGAGTCTGCTGGGCATTCACTCCTTCATTGAAGACTGTGCAGCCTTTTGTGGCTGGCCTAATGTTGGCAACACAGGGTGACCAAGAGAGCCCCAGCCCTGTCTGGCACAGAGCTCCTAGCCTGATGGGGAAGATGGGCCCATCTCTAGACAGTTACTGTCCAGCGGGGGTAGGCCAGGGTAGTGTGGTCACAGCTTGGATGAAGAAAGCCCAGGGGGCTGTGGGATCCTAGTCTGGGAGGTCAGGGGAGGCTTCCTGGAGGAGGGGACATCTAAACTGAGAATTGAAAGATTAGGAGAAATGCGTTGGGAAAAGCAAGGAAGAGTATTCCACATAGAGGGAACAGTACGTACAAAGGCCCAGAGGTAAGAGGAGGCTGTTTATTTAAGTGATGACAAGAAGCTGAGTGTGACCGGAGTTTTGAGTGTAAGAAGTGGCATGTCTGTGGGAAGAGAGCCAACTGGAAAGGTCTCTAATGGTCACCTTGCGCAGGGCCCTTTGGACCTGATGACTTTGGACTTTATCTTTAGGGCATGAAAGGGTTATACTCATAGGGGTGACAGGGTCAGATGGACAAATTAATAAAGGTTTCCCAGGCAGATACATGGAGGTAGATTAGTGAAGGCCAGAAGCCCAGAGAGGACCCTGATGGGAAAGGATATGACTGGACCAAGGCAGCACAGTGGGGAGAGAAAGGAGCCATAGGAAAGACATTGACCAGTTGGGGAGACACCCTGACCTCCTGCTCCACACCCCCAGCAGCCTCTACAACCCCTGCCATGGCCTCCCCCCGAGGTTCTGGGAGCTCCACATCCCTGAGCACAGTGGGCTCTGAGGGGGACCCGGCCCCGGGGCCCACCCCTACCTGCTCAGCCTCCAGGCCAGAGCCCTTTCCAGGGCCCCCCATCCGCCTGCATCTGTCGCCTGTGGGGACCCCGGGTTTGGCAAAACCCTCAAGGCTGGAGCGTGTGGCCTGTGAGATCGTGGAGACAGAGCGGGCCTACGTCCGGGACCTCCACAGCATCGTGGAGGTGAGGCAGGAGGGCACCTGATTGCAGTGGGGACCCAGGCCAGCCCCTCTACCCCTGTAACCCCAGTCATCTCCACAGGACTACCTGGGCCCCCTGCTGGATGGCGGGGTCCTGGGACTGAGTGCGGAGCAGGTGGGCACGCTGTTTGCTAACATCGAGGACATCTATGAGTTCAGCAGGTCAGGGGCCAGGGGCAGGTGGGATGGGCCAAGGTGTTGACTGGTGGGCCAGGGGAGGCAGGCTATATCTTAACCCAAAGCTTGGAGCTTCATAGGGCCCTGTCCAGGCTGGTCCTTGGGGTATCAAGACATTGGGCGGGGATCATGATGGGGAGTGAGGACCCAGAATGGTGGAAGAGTGAGGGAATGGAGCCTGAGGACCCTGATGAGGTCCAGATACGGGGACAGGTCCAGGCATCTGGATGGGTCTCAGCACTGTGTCAGGTCTGGGAACGTGAATCCAAGACTCAGGTGGGGCCTGGAGAACATGACAGTGTGAGCATTTGTGTCCTGGGAAAGCCTTTAGTCCCAGACAAACCAGGATAGTTGGTGCCCAGTGAGGAGGACTGGACTCCCAAGAATCAGGACATCTGAGTGTCTTGACAATATTTTAAGATTACTGCAGGAGGTCTGAGAGTCCTGACAAGATCACAGGATCACAATAGGATTTTAAGATCATCACAGCTCTGAGGGTTATGATGTTGTTCTCCCTGGGTCATGACACCCAGGCTCAGGCCAACTGTGACAAAATTTCAGGCTGAGGAATGTAATGCTGTCCAAGGAAGTCTGAGCAGGTAGCGATGTCCCATGTAGTAATAGAAGAACCTTCCTCTGGACATGACATCCCCTTGAGAGATCCTGGCAGCCTTCTGGAGTCCTCCCCTGGGGGGCTCTTGGGGAGCAGGGCAGTCCCTCACTCTTCCCTCTCCCCATAGCGAGCTCCTGGAGGACCTGGAGGGCAGCAGCAGTGCAGGGGGCATTGCGGAGTGCTTCGTGCAAAGGGTGAGTCGAGGGCCAAGGGTCAATCTGGGCTGGCACCTGGGTAAGCAGGAAGCAGGCCTGTGTTAGGCTGGAGAGGTCTGAGGTCTTCCTGATTCCTGTGTCACCCACAGAGCGAGGATTTCGACATCTACACATTGTACTGCATGAACTACCCGAGGTGAGGGGCCCCAGGCTGTGCCAACAAGCTGAAGTGCCATCTAACCTCCCTCCACCCTGATCTATCCAGCTCCAATCCCTGCCAGGCTGTGACAGTAACTGACCTCTCCCTAATCTGCCTCTGACTCCTGCCAACCCCTGGCCATTCCCAAACTGGCCACTCCCCGACCCTTCCCAGCCTTGTCCACCCGAGCTGTCGGCATCCCTGACCTGTGCTGTGCCCCCAGCTCTCTGGCCCTGCTCCGGGAGCTGTCGCTGTCTCCCCCAGCGGCCCTGTGGCTGCAGGAGCGCCAGGCCCAGCTCCACCACTCGCTGCCCCTGCAGAGCTTCCTGCTGAAACCTGTTCAGCGCATCCTCAAGTACCATCTGTTGCTGCAGGTTCGCTGTGGCCCTCGGGGGGCTGCTTGTGGAGGGGCAAGATCTTGTCCATGAACCACTTGATCGTGCATCTGGAGGGTGGTCCCAGTACAAGCTGGCCAAGGCTTGGGGAGGCATCCGGCCCCTAGAAACTGGGTCAGCGCTTGGGGTAGGGTCCTGCTGGCAGTGGGGACTGGCACCAGCTGATTCCACTTTGTGTCTCTGTTTGTCTCTCTCCATCTCTGGGTCTCCATCTCTGTCCCTACCTTTATATTTCTCTGTCTCCTGTCATTATCATTCATTCTCCTGCTCTGTTTCTGTTCTCCTCTCTGGGTGCCTGGTGGCTGCCTGGCAGGAGCTAGGCAAGCACTGGGCAGAGGGCCCAGGTGCCGGGGGCCGCGAAATGGTGGAGGAGGCTATTGTGTCTATGACAGCGGTCGCCTGGTACATCAATGACATGAAGCGCAAGCAGGAGCACGCTGCACGCCTCCAGGTGACCTCACGGGGGGCAGGGGCCAATGGATGGGAGAAGTGGGCATGAGGGCCTTTGGCGGGTGGTCAGTGCTTCAGAGGTGGCCTTAGGGGGTGGGCTCGGACAGCGTGGCCAGGTTTACTAACTCCCCTGTCTTGGCGCATGTGTGCCATCCACTGGTATGTTTCTGTGCCCGGTACACCTGGCGGGGTCTTGGCAGGAAGTGCAGCGGCGGCTGGGTGGCTGGACCGGCCCGGAGCTCAGTGCTTTTGGGGAGCTGGTGCTGGAGGGCTCATTCCGAGGCGGCGGAGGGGGCGGCCCCCGACTTCGAGGGGGTGAGCGGCTGCTCTTTCTATTCTCACGGATGCTGCTTGTGGCCAAGCGCCGGGGACCGGAATACACCTACAAGGGCCACATCTTTGTGAGTTCTTGGATGGGGGCAAGATTGGCATGTTACCTATAAGCTATATTCTATATATTAATACCTGTATACCTTAAAGGGGTGGCCAGGGGAAGGGTCTTCAAGGAGGGACAACCCAACTTAAAAGGGCTACGTTTTGTGGAGTCCAAGGATGGGGCAAGGTGTAATGAGGGTTGAGGACAGCAGAATGCAGAGGGGTGGAGACCTTGGAAGGGGAGGACCTGGATTTGCCCACCAGGCAAGCATCTTCATGCTCTAGATGTGGGGGTGGCTGGTGAGGGAGAGCAGAGCCCAGCCTGGTGAGGAGGGTCAACACGGGGAAAGGGGATCCACCATACCACCATACAGGGTACATCTTTCTAGGGGGTGGGGGCCCAGATACAAGGGGCCCATTGCTGAGTCTAGGGCCTCTGAGCCTGCCGCCCCTCTCTGCTCCCCCCATCCAGTGCTGCAACCTGAGTGTGAGTGAGAGTCCTCGCGACCCTCTAGGGTTCAAGGTGGCGGATCTGACCATTCCCAAGCACAGGCACCTGCTCCAGGTGAGCACAGGGTGGGGCTGGGTGGGCAGGGTTCCCACCAGCCCCTCAACCTCACGCCTGGCTGCCGACTGCCCCCACCCCACCCCCAGGCCAAGAACCAAGAAGAGAAGCGGCTGTGGATTCATTGTCTTCAGCGCCTCTTCTTTGAGAACCACCCTGCCTCCATCCCGGCCAAGGTACAGCTTCTGCCACAGCTGGGGACCCCCACGCACTTAGTACTGGGAGACCCTCAGTTCAGGTGCATTTTCTTAGAACATGATAACAATAGTTAAATTGCAGAGTAGGCTGCCTGGGTTTGAATCCAAGTTCCATCATGTTCCTGCTTTGTGACTTTGAGCAAGTAACAACCTCTCTGGCCTCAGTTTCCTCACCAGGAGGAAAAATAGCACTGACCTCATAGGGCTTATGAGAATTAATTGTCATCAGTCATGGAACCTGCCTGTCACATAACAGCACCCATTCATGGGACTTCAACTGCAGTACTCAGAGCCCGGCCCCCTCAATCCTCATCCTGTCTCTTTCAGGCAAAACAAGTTCTCCTTGAAAACACTCTGCACTGTGAGTTGGGGCCTTGGGTTGAGAGGTGTGGAAGTAGAGGAATTACTTCCAAGGAAAAGTAGATTATTAATCCTAAATCTGTCTCCACAGGTGCTCCTAAAAGTAAGCCTCTCCCAGAGCCCGTGACACCCCCACTTGGGTCTCCCCGACCTCGAGATGCTAGAAGTTTCACCCCTGGACGCAGGAACACAGGTAAAGGGGATGGAATCCTGAGTCCCACCCCCTCTTCCTCCCCCAGGACTCAGGAATTGTACCCCCAGCCTCCTCCTCCCCCAGGAGCCTGGAGCTGGGCTCATATGGCGTTCTGATCTGCCTCTCCCACAGCTCCGTCTCCAGGCCCTTCCATTACCCGCCGTGGCCGCAGACAGTCTGGTGAGCTCCCTCTACCTAAAGGTCAGCTAGGGATTGGGGTGGGAGTTGGACCCTGACATCACTGTGTCCTTCCCCCAGAACCAGTAAAGGACCCTTATGTCGTGTTTCCACAGAATGGTAAGTGACCATGCAGCCCAGCTGGGTCCAGCCTGGTCTGTCTGTCTCTTCCCATAAGATGCCCAGTGTTCACGGGGGAGGGGTGATAGGGGCAGCTAATCAGTCAGAAGGAGTAACACCTATTTCTACATCTCACTCTCTCATCTCTTCATCCCCAGCTAAGCCTAGACTCAAGGTAAGAAATAACTTGGGACAGAGTCTGGGGACCCAGACTCCGGGGTCTGATGGAGGAGAGAGTTTGAGTTCGAAACTCCTGGGTCTGAATAAGGAAGGGGTTGGGGGTTGGTTGGAGTCCTCCATCTGGAGGAGGAGGGGGCTGGGGGCCCTGGGCACTTGCCCTCTATCCTTTTCTTCTTCACAGCATGCTGGCAGTGAGGGGGAGCTCTATCCCCCCTTAGAGCCTCAGCCACCAGGTCCAGTTTCTGGACTCCCTGAGGACCTGGAAGACACTGGACCCCCCACACTGGACGCCTCTGGGACCTCAATCACTGAAGAAATCCTGGAACTGCTGAACCAAAGAGGCCTCCGGGATGCGGGGGTGAGCCGGCCGTCCCATCACAGTGTCCGTGGGGCTCTCGGCTTGGGCAGGCACAGACCGGGGGCCAGGGCAGCCAACCACCCTGACACCTTTGGCCTCTTCCCCAGTGCCCATTACAGCCATCCCCTCATGACCTTCCCAAGTTCCCCGGAGATACCCAGGTGCCAGGTGCCAGCGAAAGCCTCACGTTCCCAGCCCTGCCCAGCCGGGACTCTTCAGAAGAGGAGGAGGAGGAAGATCTGGAGATGGACGAACGGGGCCCTTCCCCACTCCATGTGCTAGAGGGACTCGAAAGTTCCAATGCGGCTGAAGTTCCTGACATTCCTGGCCTTACCAAAAATCCTGCTGTGCCCAGCCTCTCTGAAATTCCCAGCCTTTCTGAAATTCCCCAAACTCCCTGCCTTCCCAGTCTCTCTGACATTTCCAGTGTTTTTGAAATGCCTGGCCTTCCAGCCATGCCTAGTATCCCCGACATTCCTGGTCTTTCCAGCTCCCCCACCCTTCCCTGTGATTCCTGGCTACAAGGACCTCTACAGGAGCCGGATGAGGCTCTGGCCACCAGGAGAGAACTGTTCCCTGGAAGCAGTTCCAGAGAACTGGGAGAGCCCTCCTCAGGTAGCAGGGCAGGTCAGGAGGAGGATGAAGAAGGGGTGTCATTCCCAAATTTCCAGCCCCAGGGTGGCACCCGAGATCAGGGATTCCAGAATGAGCTGGAATTCCGCTCTTGCTCAGAAATCCGGAGCGCCTGGCAGGCTCTGGAGCAGGGGCAGCTGGCCCGGCCAGGTTTCCCAGAGCCGCTGCTAATTCTGGAAGATTCAGATCTCGGTGGCGGCAGCGGGAGTGGGAAGGCCGGAGCCCCAAGTGCGGAGCGGGCAGCGTCCCGAGTGCGAGAGTTGGCCCGGCTCTACAGTGAGCGGATCCAGCAGATGCAGCGGGCTGAGACCCGGGCCTCGGCCAATGCCCCCCGCCGCCGGCCACGGGTTCTGGCCCAACCCCAGCTGTCCCCCTGCCTGCCCCATGAGCAGGCCGAGCCAGGTGAGATCCAGGTATGTGGTCGTCAGAGGTCACCCATGCCAAGGCGCCAGTCCTGATTCCATTCTTCTTTCTTCGCACACAGGGCCCCTGCCTGCCTTCGGACACGTGCTGGTGTGTGAACTGGCCTTCCCACTGACCTTGGCCCAGGAATCTGTCCCCCTGGGCCCTGCTGCCCAGGTTCAAGTTGCCACACCTCTGTCTAAGCAGGAAGGCTGCCTGGATGGTCCGGGTCTAGATGTTTCCAGTTTGCCTGAGCAAGACCATCACGGCACCCAGGTTCCAGTCGCTACCCCCTTGCCTAAGAAGGAAGTCCCCCTACATGTCCAGGTTCCAGCTATTACAACTCTGCCTGATCGAGAAGGCCACCTGGAAATGCAAGTTCCAGCTACCACTCCTTTGCCTGAGCATACAGGCCATGTGGATGTACAACTTCCAGCTATCACCTTTTATCCGCAGCAAGGATGCCAGATGGACACCCCAGTTCCAACCACCCCAGCTTTGCCCAAGCAGGGAAGTTGTTCTGATGTCATGGCTTTAGCCACCACTCCTATGCTTAAGCAAGAAATCCACATAGACTGCCAGAGCCCAGCCAACACTCCATTAACTAAACAAGGAGGTTCCAGGGATGTTTGGTTCCCAGCCACTGTCTGTGGCCAGGCCGTTGACGCTTTGCTTCTGCATGGGAGCAGCCTGAATGATCAGATCCCAGAAAATACCCCACTGACCTTGGAACACAACCTTCCAGACGTTCAGGTTCCAGGTACCTCACCTTTGCCTGCATGTGGAGACCACACAGACTGTCAGATCACAGCCAATGCTCCATTGTCTTTGCCCCAGGACCTTCCAGACATTCAGGTTCCAGCTGCCACAACTTTGCCCCAGCCACAAGGCTTCACGGACACCTGGGTCCAGGCCCTCCCACCTGTGCCCAAGCAGGGAGGCCTGCCAGACATCCAGAGGCCTGCTGCTGAACCTTTGCTTCAGGTGCAAAGCCTCACAGACGTCCACGTCCCCAAATCTACATCTTTGTTGGAGCAGAAGAGCCTCACAGACGTCCATGTTCCAGCTGCCACACCTCTGCCTGGGCAAGGAGGCTCTCTGGACATTCAGGGCCTGTCACCTGCCCCAGTTCAGACCACTGTGATTTTGTCCAAACCAGGAGGCCACTCGGTCTCTCTTGTTGCCAGGTCAGAGTCTTCAGACTTGACTCCACCCCACAGTCCCCCGCCCCCAACCCGTCAACTCCTGGGCCCCAATGCAGCAGCCCTCTCAAGATATCTGGCAGCCTCATACATCAGCCAGAGCCTGGCTCGACGGCAAGGGCCTGGGGGAGAGGCCCCCCCAGCCTCCCGGGGCCCCTGGTCTTCCTCTGCCCCCACATCACGGGCACCTTCACCACCACCCCAGCCCCAGCCCCCACCACCCCCTGCCAGGAGGCTCAGCTATGCCACCACAGTCAACATCCATGTCGGGGGTGGTGGGCGGCTACGGCCAGCCAAGGCCCAAGTCAGGTTGAACCACCCTGCTCTCTTGGCCTCCACCCAGGAATCTGTGGGCCTTCGAAGGGCCCAGGGGACTCCTGATGCCCCTTACCACATGTGAGCCAGGATATCAGGCTTCTTGAAAAGCAAAGACTTCAACCAGATGCCACAGACCCTCAGAACTTCACCCAGAAGTCCAGACACTGAACACAGGTTTAAAAATTGCTGCAGTTTTCCAACTCCTAGGATCTGCTTTGGCAAGTGGTCCTTATTAACTTTGATTAACTCAACAGGGATGGGGAAAGGGGATGTCATTAATATTTTGTTAATAGTATGAAATTATGTTTTCCCATTCTGGAGATAGTGGGGGATAACAGAAGACAACACTGAATGGGAAAGCACATCAGTGGTTCTGAAAATTTGGAGACTCTCAAACTCCTTTGAGAATTACTGGAAACTGGACCCATTATCATTTGGTGTATGATTTCAGAGGGTTTATGAACTGCTTGATGCCCATCTGGGAAAGCCAAGTTAAGAAGCTTTGCTCCAAGTAGAAATTCATTCCCTTAGCAATTGAACCAGTTCGCGGGTCCATCATCCACCCATCTCATCTGCTCAGCCATCTCTCCATCTTTATCTCTGGCTATATATCTTCCAATCCATCATCCCACCCATATGCCTTGCTTTATTTAACCATTTTTACCCTACTCATCTATCCATCATCCTACCCCCACATCTAGCAGCCATTAATCCATCTTATCTCACATGTCCATCTTTATCCAGCCCCCTCCATTCATCCATCTGTCCATCCATATTTCCATCTATTCAGCTGTACATCTCTTTCATACAACCATCTCTAATCTGTCAAGCTAACCATCTCGAGCACCATCCATCCTAATTGGAGTCTGCTGGGTCTTGGTACTTCAGAGAGTTCCATGCTAACACCAGTGTGGATGAAGTTTGAGATTCTGGAAAAAGTCTATCCCCCATCTGTGTGACTCCTCTTGGCAACCACTCTCCACCCCCATGAATATTCCAATTCTTGTGCCTACCCACACATATGAGATCCCTTTACCCCCTCTATCCAGTTTGAGACCTCTACAGTGCCTCAGTGTGCCCCCCCACCCACCAAGAAAAAAATTCAGGTTGTAGAAACAAAGGCTTTTATATTAGGATCCTTCTGTCTCCTCCCAGCCATGGCATGCCCAGTGAGAAGCATAACTGTTTCTTTGGTAGTATTAGCTTCTTTCATTGAACATTCAACCTCTTGTGCTTTAGCACAATCTTATTTAACCTTCCCTGGAATTCTCTGAGGCATACTATAGTGTCTTGGCCGAGTTGAAGTCCCAACTTTTCTAGTTACTTGGTACAAAACATCCCTGTCCACCTGGGTTTTCTCGTGTATACAATGAGGACAATCATTGTAAAGAATCATTGTAAAGACTCAGTGATTGTAGTCTCACTTCCCAAAGGTCGTCTGAGCCTCTGACTCGCTGGGACATTGTTCACATCACAGATCCTCCAGGATCTAGTCCCAGTGTATGGGATTGGAACTGCCAGGGCAGGAGCCCGGAAATCTGACGTCTTAGCAATTGGTTAACGATAGCAAAACAGGCTGGGATTTATTGAGTACTAACTGCATACCATAGGCATTAGTCACTTTATATGAACTTTGAGTCCTCACAACAGCCCTAAAAGGCAAGTGAGGATGGTTTTTAATCGCTACTTTAGTGATGAGGAAACCTAGGCCCAGAGAGAATAAGGGATTTACCCAGTTAGTTAGGGAGGGACAGAGCTGGGACTCCAATCCTTGAAGCTCGAAGCCCAGCCCAGTGCCGGGCACCACAGGGGGCACAACAGAGAACACTTCTCAGCCCACTTGAGGCTTGCCGCCTGGTGTTCCAAGGGACCTGGGTCATTAATAAGGTAGCCAGAACAAGGCCTGGCTCATTAAGTGTTAGCTGCCCGCTTCTCTTCAGTTATTTACTAAGTGATTGCGAAGCCCTACACTGGGACTGCTCTACTGCAGCCTCTGCAAGGTCAGGACTGAGGCTGGCCCTCCCCTCCTCCATCCCCAGCTGCACATCCCCAGCCACCCTCAGCTGTACATTCCCAACTGAAGGAAAGTTCCCAGCAGCGCCGGAATTCCCGGTATTTGAGGAGGCGGCTGGGAGGGAGAAAGGGGCTGTCTGCTCCAAGGCCTGGAGTCGGGGAAGGAGAGGCAAACCCCCTCAGCTTCTCCAGATGCATTCCAACTGTGCCTGTGGGAGGGAGTCAGGAGCCTCAATAAGGGGGTCTCGACCCTGCGGGGAAACCATGAGCACCAGGCTTGCCTCAGACTCTGGTCCCTGCCCCTGAATTCCATTTCTCCTGCCTGCCCAACTCCTACCTCTGCTTGATGGCCCAGCTCTGGCCTTCTCAGGAATACCTTTCTTGCCTTGAGAGCTACATAAATCAGGTTCAAAAAGGGAAAGGTGACTGGTCGTTGCCCTCCTTGGGACGCTTAGGTTAAAGCCAGCCAACTTAATGCAGCCCGTTAACTCCAGCTCCCATGCATAAAACTTGGTGAGCTGTATTTTATTTTGCCCCAGGCTAACTTTCTCATCTGTTAACATGAACGTGCCTGTCAGCAACCTGGCAGGGATATTGTGAAGGTATGTCCAGCAATGCTTAGCTTGGCACTAGTTGGTGCTCAGTCAACCTCACTCCATCTCTAAGTGCATCATATGATGCACTGCATATACGATGATGGTCCCCCATGAGATTATAATGGAGCGGAAAAATTCCTGTTGCCTGGGACATGGACCTTACAATATTGTAGCACAACACGTTACTCAAATACTTACCATTGTGTTACAATCACCTACAGTATTCAGTACAATTACATGCTATACAGGTTTGTAACCTAGGAGCTGTAGGGGAACAGAATTTGTCACCCCAAAATGTCTTATCTGGCATAAGGATTATTTTAGGCTGGTTAATTTTAAGGACATGGGAGAAGCTCTGAAAACTATTAAGTTACCCTTGGTAAAAGACATTGACGGGGCGGCTGGTTAGCCTGGTTAGAGCGCAGTGCTTATAACACCAAGGTTGCCGGTTCGATCCCTGCATGGGCTACTGAGCTGCGGCCTCCACAACTAAGTTGAAGCAACTACTTGACTTGGAGCTGATGGGTCCTGGAAAAACGCACTGTCTCCCAATAAAAAATAAAGACATTGACATTTGTAAGGGGTCTGGGTCTCCGCCGCTGTACGAGGAAGAGAAGGATAATTATCTCTAGAAATTTGCATCAATGCACAAGAACTTTTAGGTGCATATAGAGCCTAACCCTTGGTTACTGTGCTTTTCCTGGTAATCTCCCATAACTGACCCCCTACTCCTAATTTCTTTTGTTTTCAACTGAAGATGGTATTTAAGGTGGGTAATTCAGCCATTTTGGAGAGTTACTCAGCTTTCCCAGGTCTCTTCCATGCATACAGGAAGTATACATTAAACTTTTTTCTATCCTTTTATTACAGGGATGTCTCAGCCAAGAACCCAAAAGGGTAGAGGGAAAATTATTTCTCCTCCCCACAGAGCAATAACCTAAATGTGTAGTGGGCTATACCACCCAAGTTTGTGTAAATGCACTGTGATATTTGCATAACCAAACAGCCTAATGACACTTTTCTCAGAAGGTATCCCAGTCGTTAAGTGGTGCGTGACTATTTGTATGTGTTCCCTATGCATCAGTGCTGTCCCATAGAATTTTCTGAGGAAATGTTCTCACCTGTCAACCCAGCTTGGTAGCCACATGTGGCTACTGTGCTGGATAGGGCAGAGATACAAACAGGGCAACTGGACAGTGAATCTGAAGTTCCTTCTGTTATAAAGAAAACGTGTGTAACTTTCCCCCTCAATCAACATTCAAGGGCAGTATGACGTTGCCGCCAGTACACCCAGCAGGGGGAATAGGGTGGGACCCCACCTGACAGATAGCTAAGGTATCCAGTCAAAGACTGGAAGTCAAGATGCCCTTCCCAGAGCAACAAAGCTCAATATAAAAATGGGGGGAAACCTAAAGGTAACCTAACCCACAAGCAACACTTGGCTTCCCTATAGTTGGCCCTCCATATCTGTAGGTTCTACACTGGCCAATGCAGAATTCCACACTGGATATGGAGGCCAACTAAGGGACTCAAACATCCCTGGATTTTAGTATCTGTATGCTTTTATTACATGGCAGGCGTAACAGATAAGTCCTCAGAGCTGTGTTCCAAGCCCCATAAGGGCAGTTACCACATTGAATACAACTGGGACTTGCTTTAAGGAGGCCATAGGGGGCCTTTCCCCAGGAAATAGTATTGATATCCTTAAGGATAAAGCCAGTCAAAGGGAACCCACACACATACACACAACTGGTCAGGTTTATAATCAATGGCCCAGAACCACCCCCATCTTGACTGTGCCCACACACTGGACTTTACCAGAGCTGTAGGGAGACAGACCAGGTCTGCTCCCACCTGCCTTCCCACCCCATCCACACAAACTCCAGAGTAGTGGCTTCTGGAGAGTCTTAAAATTCAGTATGGCAGTGGGCTGAGGCATTTCCTGCATTCCTTTTCATCAAAGACCCACCACAAAAGACAGCACAATCCTTGAAACCTTAAATCCCATGACCATTGTTTATTATAAAGGTGAACCCTGATGGACTTATCGGTAGGATTTCTGGTAGCGAGCACGAGCACCAGGACCTCCAAACTTTTTGGATTCGCAGCGACGGGGATCAGCTACCAGCAGGGTCCGGTCATACTGGATGAGGATGTCTTTGATCTCCTTCTTAGAAGCCTCATCCACGTCTGAGGATGAGAAATGGGGTGGAAATTTAGATAACCACGCAAGCATCCTCAGACTCTCTGGAGCTAAATGCCTCAACTTGCCCCTACCTCCCAATGGGAAGGACCCATTCTTACTCACATTTCTGGTAGTAGGCCACTAGAGCTTTGGAGATGGACTGGCGGATTGCTGCGAGGAAGACACACACAATCAAAGGGTGCATCTACTTTGTGAAGGTTTAAGAGTAGGGCCTTGGTCTCAGAGCCACCTCCCACCTGTGCCCAATTCCTGGGACTCACCATAAATCTGGGCCACATGACCACCACCCTTCACACGGACTCGGATGTCCACACCAGCAAATCGCTCCTTGCCCAGAAGCAGAACAGGTTCCAGTAGCTAGAGGAACAGGGGACACAATAGGATTTTAGATAGCAACCTAGGAAGCTGAGCCACCTCACTGCACATCCTTATGTCTCTCCAAGTAGTTTCAGCCACCACTAGCCTCTTCTACTATAGGCTGCCACTGCCAAGGCCCCCCACAGAGCCAGAAGCCTCCTCTGGGCTCCCCAATCCCAGCCATGATTACTCTGAAGCAGTGTCTGGTCCAGCCCATCTCCCCCACTGAACTGGGAGCTCTGAGGGCAGGGGTGTAGGGCCATCTGGGTCACTGCTATGTTCCCATCACGCAACACAGGCTCCACATAGAAAGCTTTCAAATAAACTGACAATCAGTACGTTAGCCATAATACTCAGTATTTGGTATACCAAGAACCTCAGACCCTATCTTATTAAATTCTAAGTAACCCTGCAACGTAGATGTTATTCTTTACATTTAAAAGTAATAGACTTTAGGGGAGAATCTAATTTATCCTCACAGAAGCCCTTAAAGGTAGAAATCACCTCATTTTACAGATGATCCCAAAGCAAAGAAGTGAAGTTACTTGCCTCAAGTAACTGGCTAGAAGAGGTACAAATCAGACTCCCATCTCTTTCCATTCTGAGCCAAAGAAACTTAGTCCCAAATGAGGAAGAGAGGAACCCCTTTCACAGCCAAGCAAACAAACACAAATTCCATTCCTGTTCTTTTTTTTTTTTTAGCTAAGCCATCCTGCTACCTGTTGGCAGCTCAGCAGCTGCTTAGCTCGGGCTGGACTCGAACCGCTGTTGCTCAGAGCGAGCTCTTAACCAACTGAGCCACTCAGCCGGCCCCCCATTCCTGTCCTTTTAATATTTATTGAGTACCTACAACTTCCAGACCCTACTTTAGGCCCAATGTTTTATGAACCAAAACATTGATTCCTCTCCCAGGAAGCTGTTATGTGTGTATAAGTGGAAACTGACAAGTTGCAAACATGACACACATCCCCCAGTAACTGCAAAAAAAAAAAAAAAATCACGCTGCAAAAACTCTGGTACTGTTCTGGTCCCCTGGTCCCCAATCAAGTGGGCTGCCGAATATCCCAGTTTTCAACGTATCCTAACCTTCAACATCCACGTTCTCTCAAGCTTTTATCACATCTTTGAACCTCCAAACCCATCTTTTTTACCCCAAATCAGCTTCTAAACATTCCAATGTTGATACCAAATCCCTCAGCTTCCAAAACCAACGAATTCCAGAAACCTGCTTATTTCAATACTTCTGTCCCAGAGCCCTCCACTCAACCCAAACGCCCGACTTCAGTCCTCCCCCCCCCACACACACACACCTTGTATTGCAGCGTGCGCGGCTCGATCATCTCCAGAGGCCGCCCGTTCACTTTGATGAGGCCGTTGCCCCGTTTGCAGTGCGCCACGGCTGTGGCCGTCTTCTGTGGAAAGCGAGGAGAAAAGAGCAGGGACACGTGAGCTCAGAGTCCGGCTCCCATGTCGATTCTAGACCCCTGCCCATCGGCCTCTCCTAGGCCCGGGCCTCCCTTGGCCTCTCCCATGGGGCGTCTGGCTCACCTTTCGTCCGAAAACCTGCACAGACTGCAGAGGACCCTTGGATGGCATGGCTGCGGGTATAGACGGGACAACCTCACCGCGCGGCGCCGACACCGGAAAAGGAAAGCGCGGGGCCACCCCAGCCGCTTTTCAGGGTCTGCGCAGGCGTTTTGAGCGCTGCGTCGCGACAGGAGGGAGCTTTACGGCTCACATTGCAACCAGGGGGCGGGACTTCGGGTTGGCATAGGAAGGTGGGTCCTAGGAGCGAAGGGGAGGGACCTTTATTAGTCGGGCCGGTTCATTTGCATACCGGCTCTTTGATATTCTCCCTTCGCCCTCTCCCCTCCACCCTACTGAAGTCGATTCTCACCAGCCTCTAACTTTTCACCAGCGGCAATCTTTCTCTCCTCTAGACTCCGTCTTCCCCAAAGCCTCCTCCCTCAGAATCTTCCCTCCGGAACCAACAGCAAGAAGTCAGACTCAAGACTCAGGGTCTTCCTACTCCCTAGAACACACCTCCGAGATTCCTTTCCCAGAATCCTTTTCCTCTTAACGTCCCCCTCTCCCAGAATCTACCATATTTCCCCATGTATAAGACACACCTTTTTTGAAAAATTTGGGTTCTAAAAACTGGGTGCATCTTATACAGTAGTTGTAGATTTGTTTACTTGCATTTCCCGCTTTTTCGCGCTTGTTGTCTTTGCGCTCATTGTTTCGCACTTGTTACTGGTATATTACAGTAGGTTACTGTTTTGCCACGTTCTGCCCAGAAATGGCTCAGAAAAGATTTTCATGCGGTGCTAAGTTCAAGTTAAAAATGATCGAGTTTGCAAAAGTGAATGGAAATCGTGTTGCTGAACGTAAGTTTGGTCCTCCTCCAACTGAGAAAACAACCCGAGACTGGCTATGGTTGGGAGTTTTGACAGTGATGAGGAGTTGTATGAATTTTATGATGAATAAAACTTGAGTTCAATAACTTTATGTAATACATTTCTTTTAAAATTTCGGCCCCCAAAATTAAGGTGCATCTTATACATGGGAGCATCTTATACATGGGGAAATACAGTACCTTTCACCAGAATTTCCTTCCTTTTAGAGTCTCCTTTTCCCAGAAAAGTCTCTCTTTTCAGAAGTTCACCCCCAAATCCCCCTTGGGATCCCTCCCTCAGACTCCCTCTTTCCCTGAATGTTCCTCCACTCAAGGTCCCTTTTCACCCAACCATCTCCCCCAGAATCTTCCTCTCCTCAGGACCCGCTACCCCTAGCATCCCCCTCCTTCTGACTCTCACTCTCCCCTAGAATCCCCTTTCACAAAATCTCCCTTTCAGAGCCCACTCTCTCAAAATCTATCACTCCCAAGAATTTCCCTTCAGAGCCTCCTTTTCCTAGCAACTGCCTCCCCCACTCCACCCATTTACTTCTGGTAGAATCCTACACTCCTTAGAGACCCTCCCTCCAGAATCCCCCCTCTTCAGAGTCTACCCTAGAATCCCTCTTTCTATGGTGTCCCAAATCATCTCTGCATTCTCTCCCCCAAATCACTTCCTCTCCAAGCCCCTCCCCACAGAATTCTCCATTCCCAGCGCCCACACCCATCCCATCTGAGCAGCCTTAGGTTTGGGTTGCACCCTTACTCCCGCCCCACTCAGGATGCTCCTTTCCCAGCCAAGAGGCTCTTCTCTCAGGGCTGCAGGGAGCCCACAGTTGCCTCGGTTTCTCTGGCAGCACTGGGTCTGGGGTCCAAGGTTCAAAAGGGTGTGGTGGCTCACTTTGTGCCTGGAGGACAGAGATAGGGCAGAGGTTGGTGGGTAGGTCTGGGGCCAGAGGGAGGATCCTCCAGCCTGGAATCCAGCTCCAAAAGAGTGA